CGACTGCACTTTGGAGAGGACTTGCAATAACATGAAGTGCAAAGGACCTACTTGGAGACTTCTTGTGGTGGCTCATGAATGCCCCTGAGGATACACGTTGCTTGCATGTAGGCGTATACTGTATCCGTGGACGACATAGGAGTCCGGCGGTTGCGTGGATCATATCGTGTATGGTCCAAGGGCTCGGCTGTCGCAGTGTGTATACCGAGCACATACAGCGGCAGGCAGGTAACTGGTCTCGACTGCACAACTTGCCCAAACTGTGCTTAGACGAGTGACGCAAAAGCTAGGCTTGCAGAACTTGTAGAAGAAGACACACGAGACTTGGCTATGTTTCTCCGGCAGAATATGTGTCTCATCTGACAACGGCCCGTCGCGGGATGTGTATAAACAGCCGACCACCACAGACAGCTCGAGAGAGAGAGACAGAGACTAATAATTGCATGTGTCAACATATTAGACCCATATCTAAGGCGAGCCAACTGATCGAGTCCCGGAATCATTGGAAGGCCGATACAATCAATACTTTAATAGATTATGCATATTTTTAATAATTGTCGGGTGTACCGGGTTTTCTTTCCGTTAGTTAACAAACAAGCATAAAAGCAATACTTCTATATTGTATGCACCGTTAGAAGGGACATACAACTAAATAATACTCTAGAGATTTATCTTAGTTGTATCATCGTAGACGTTATCCAAAGCAACCCACCATCCCAATACGGTGGCACATTATGTATACTTCTTTATGTCGGTAGACGGGCGTATTGGTAATACCAGTAGTACTTCTATGATATATCCATGGTTACAAGGGGCACACACCTAAGCGATACTTTGTAGAATTACCTTGATTTTAGCATCTTGGATGTCATCTATAGCAGCTGCCATATCAATGCTTTCATATAGTGTCTATACTTCGTAGTAAATATCGCATAGACAAGAGCTCAAACATTATAAATAGTGCTACTCAATGTCAACACGTGCTAAATACCAAAAAAAATACCTTCCCTCTAATATTAAACGCCACCCCCCTAATATCAAAATTCAATTGCGGGGTTTGGATTTTATATTACGGGGGTTTTCGGCAGGAATGATTTGTGAGCCAGACACAACAACCGTCCGTCCAATCACCAGCCATTCCGGCTGTAGTAGCAAACAGTCAGCCTTAAGCCCTTAACCCCCAAGCTCTAAAGCCTTAAACCCTAAACCTTAAACCCTAGAATCTTAATTCATTAAGCCCTAAACACCCTAAACCCTATAGCCTCGGTCCTTTCGGTTTAGTACTACTATAGTCTTGGCTCTATTTTTTTTGCCTCCCGCCTGGCTAGGACGAACCTACGATGCAGGGTCTAATCATGGCAAAACGTCAGAGAGATGCACGATGCTTAGCAACGGCGACACAACGTCTGTGTGGGGGCAGGCGTCGTTGACCTGTGCGGCTAGCCATCACGGCTAAGGACGTCCTCCACTGTGGGGACAAATCCTATCAGCAAAAACATGTACTGTACTGCACAATTTCGCTTCCTCTCAGGCAAAACAGCCAGGCACTGACATCACTTCTGTCTCCCTTATGCCTCATCCTACATCCAGCAACGTAAGTCACCGATCATGCCACCCTTCATATCATCATCTTCCAGCGTCTCCAACTTGACTGTGTTGGTCTGACCCCAGAGCTGCAGAACGGCGCTGCACATGAGTCAGAAACAGCTCAGATGTCCCGCTCATATACACATGCACTCAGTTTGTCCATGCATGAGGCAACCGCCGCCTTGTAGTAAATTCGGGGCATCGCCATGCAGTAAATTCAGGTATCTTGCAGCAATAAAGCATTCAGGTATCTCGCGGCAATAAGACAGCATGTATGCAGACAGTGTACGCACCACAGCCATCGTCCTGCAGAAAATTTGGCTTCTTGCATCAAATTCCAAGCGTGTGGCAGCAAGTTGACTTCATGCAGCAAATTCAAACCATGCAGCAAATTCCAAGCCAGGGAGTGATATGACAGGTAGCAATACCCAGAGCTGAATATGTCCCAATAGTAAGGGCCGTCTAATGTCCAGGGGGAGGTCGAAGCATCGGTCGTTTGGCCCAGTCAAAATTGGAGCAATCGGCCACAGCCATTGGCTTTCAGCCCAAGTGTGACCAAGCCCATCCCATCCTGTAGTCCAAGGTCGGAGCCGACATAAAAAACACTGTAGCTTTCCGTCAGCCAAAGAAATCCAGGATCCCCACATTTGGGAATTCAAGAATTCCATGCCAGCAATCCGTCAGCATGCCCATTATGGTTGACGACTCACGGGCGGCAGAGACAGCACACACAAGATTCGAACCATCTCTCGCAGTGCGGCGGGAACGGGGTGTGCCATGGCGGTGACCGGTTAGAGTACAGATTGCCCGCACTCCAAACCCAACCTAACTTCGCCGAAATCAAGAAGATAAACAACAGAAGACAGCTGTGGGGAGGTCGTGGAAGACATCGTATATAGGGGCCCTAGCTCCTAAGAGCGAAAACCCGAACATACGGCCCTAAAAGAGACAAGAGCAAGAAGAGAGGTCACCACATCTTGGCTCTATTAAAACTCATAGAATTCCTAGCCCCTCCCCCCTAATATTTTTAATTAACTTTCAATTGTGCGCCCGAAACAGCAAAATCCCAGGGGCCGGCAGTGTTTATATTAGGAGGGGGGAGTGTAATGTTAGTGGGAAGTGATTAAGGGATCTACGGGTTTTAAAGAAGGGGTAGCAGAAATTTGGAGTCGCCGTACGGGCACCCTAATACACATGCTCAAAAATTCAAGAATATCCGAGAGAATCTTCACGAAAGATCAGAAGGCCAGGAAGAAGAGAGAGGTCATCCAAAGAGAGCTTGCCGCAAAGCCAAAACGCACCCTACGCGCATACAACTGTAGAGATACATATTCAATATCTCTAGTACAGCCAATGCAATAATAAATATATATATGTATCATAAATATATATTATCGTCAATTTCCTAAAAATACATACATATATATATATAACATAAGACTATCGAACTATTTTAATAAAAATGCTATTTTCTGAGCAATCATAACGTAATCTTCTAATTTTCGATGATTATCTTATACGGTATTATCTAATTCCATTTACTAGTTGGTTTGGCTTTTATGAACTTTCGGAATATTACCTTCGATGAATTACTATAAATATACATGGGAAAACGAATATTTAAAGAATATATAAGTTTAAATGTTTCCTCTAATTTCTATGACTTTCATGTCTTTCGCCTGCTCATAATAAGGTTTTACTCCATAACTGTTACTATATTGTTTTTGAGAATGAATTCTTCTATTATTCTAAATGATTCGGTAATGCTCGATATCGAATGAATAAACTTTAGGAATATCGCATATGACCCAGCACCTAAGGACCTAAGCGGTGAGTTGCCGAGCCGTTTTGCTCGTGTCTGCACATTGGTCTCCATTCGCTAGGCAAGCTTGCGGCTTACTGATAGGCATTGAAGCCCGCCATGAAATTTTCCACCAGCTTCTGTGGATGCTTCCGGGAGCCCGTCTTGGAGCACTTCTGATGGCACACGGCCGAGAGCTTCACGCCTTCAAAAACAAGGCCACAAATCTGCCTGCCCTCAGGGGCTGCGAAGACAATTCTTTGTGGTTCTTTTCCCGGCCCTCCATAGCCCTTCGTAGAAAAAATGCGGCCTTTGCTTGTCTTGAACTCTAGCATCTGGGCCAAATACTTTCGCGTCGGTATCTGAGTCACCTCCACTACGGCCTCGTCCTTCTCTACAGCGAAGCACTCACTGCTGCATCCTCCAGTGCTTTCACCATACACTTGGTGAATGCCACTGCGCAGCTGAAACTCCACCCTGTCCACATACTGGCCTGTGATTGCCTTGATTCTCTTGATGCAGCCCTTGGCACCTGGATCCGCAGGCGGCTCCTCTCTCTCGTCGGACAAGTCTTCCTCCTGATTGCATACCTCTCGCGGGGCGCAAAACACCCATTCTGGAACCTTAGCGTTTTGGCCGCGGTCGGGGAAAAAGCCAGCAGGACTAACTGTTAACTACTATGACTGAGAAGACAAACTCTTCTTGGATGACGTCTGGCGACCCAGCCCACGTCACGCTGCCCTCGTAGTTGACGACAAGCCAACCATCCTCTGTCGCGTAACATTCCAAGCTCCAGAACATCGCCTGGCCGAACGCTCAGCAGCGCCGACCTTCGACGGGAATCAAACGCCTGCTTCACCACAAGAACCTTGTCTCGTTGCGAATTCGCACCTGGGCCGAGCTTCTTCCGAAAGTGCCCCACGATCCGTATGCACTCGCCGAACGCACCTATCTCTTTTGCTAGAAAGTAGATCTTCCTGGGCATGCTTGGTCAAACAAGGTGATCTCGTTCCAGTATGCAGACTCATGCCACAATCATCCAATCAGAATTCATGATCCTCATCTGGACATGTATGCAGGGTGGTACGATATGGTGTGGTCTGGTCTGGCCTGGTATGTACATAGGCATGTGCGTATGACATATAAATGCATGTAATTCTGAGTGCATGGATGTAAGCATGTAAGCACATATGAGCTCATATGTACGTATGTGTATATATTGGGATAGGTATGCCGATACAGACATTCTATACACATATATATATATATGTGTGTGTATATACATATGCATATGTATACACGCACAGACATGCACAAAAGAAAAGAACACACACACCCACAAACACACTCACACCGGAGAGGAGGCTACGATTGTGACAGGAGCTGGGCAGGCACAGGCTGGGCTATCACAGAATAACTAGAAGTTGAAAAGAAGTTGAAAAAGTTGGTTGCAAGATTTCCGAAAAGTTGAGATGAGGGAGGCACAGAAACAAGCCGCATATGCGCTTCTACAGAGGCATGCATCGGCGTTCTTTAGACGACTGGTTGCATCTCCTAGCCCTGAACGATGTGGAACATGTCTATGGCGTTGCACGATCCGTAACTGGCCGGAGGCAATCTTAAACACCCCGGCAAAGCAGTTGTCTCACCGGCTTGCATCCCTCATCTCGAATGAGGGGTGCAACCGATCTTCACACTTTAGAAACTTTGCAAGGGGCAGGCAGACTGGATTGCATGGCCGGAAAACATCATTGGCAGCGATAACATCATCTTCATCTACCAGATAGAAGAGCTACATACAGACACAAAGAGAGCGAGAGAGAGAGAGAGAGAGAGAACAGCATCAGATGTGGACTGTGGCCTTCTTTGGCGACTTGGGCTGATTGATTGGACGGCCATGCATCAATAAGGGCTATAACCCAGGACCTCTGGCTGTTCCATTCAGCAACACTGCAGCCAAGGAACTGCGCCGGGGGCCACGCTGTTCGTGCAAGCGCGCCTTCTCGCTGCGCTTCCGCCGAGCAGGCGATCTCGATCGAGATCTCAATGGCGGCGGCGCCGAAGCCTTGGCCGGGGTGGCCTCTGCTCTCAGCCTGTTTTCCCCTGCATCCAACACCAAGTACAAGGTGTCGTCGGGATCCAGCAAGGCCTTGTGGCCATCACGGAGCGTGTACAATGTCGTCAAGCTCATGTTGCTTCGCTCTCGGACGATCTCCAGTAGCCGTCGCACCGGTTGGTCGCCACCGATGGGCACCCTGATGCGGTTACTGCGCCCATCCTCGCGGCACTCAATGTCCAGCTTGAAGACTTGCTTCGCCATGCTTGTCTATGCCTCAACTACCGATCTGACCGTTCAGAGCCGGACTCAACCGTTTTCAATATTGGCAGTGTCTCGATTCGCGACCACAAGGCGGGGTCGTAAACCCAAGATTCCAGGAAGGAATCCCGAACCATTTTAACCCGAAACCTACATGCCCAGATCTGTAAGCCGCAGTCTCTCGGCACCCTCAACATGCACTCGTTGCATGCTCCGTGTCTTTATGTTGTACCTTCATCGGTCACTGCGTGCGCGCGGGGCTGACTTGAGATTCAGCGGCTGCGGCCTGTCGAGTTGCGAAGCCAAGGCTCAGCAGCCACAAGATCCGAGAACCCACAGTTGGAACCTGGTGTGCTGTAGGACTGTAGGGGCCTCCTCGCCGTACTCCGTCGCCTCTTCTGTCGTGTTTCAAAAGGAGGACGGGCTTTCGACGAGGGAGGAAACGCTAGGTTGGGTGCACAACGAATAATTGCAAGTTGCAGTGCAAGTGCTGTGCAAGTCTTTGGCCTTGCGCACGCCGGCCGATGTCGTGGCTGCAGTTGCCGACGCCGTGGACGACTCCAGGAAGGCATCCGGCGAGCATCACGGGCACCCTGCGCGCCCGCCGCGGCCCAGGCAGCGCGAGGCGATGTTGTCATTTTCGGACGGGGTGCGGTAGCCCCCACAGGGCGTGCATCATCAGGATCAGCGGGGTGTGGCAGACGGGCGGGGATCATCGGAGGGCGTCTAACTGCGGGAGGGGGGGGGATTTCAAGGAGAAGACTCGGGGCAGGAGGCAAGGGGGGCGTCGTGGGCACGCGCGCAGCGCACGCGCGTGTGCAGTCGCGCCCGGCTATATCTCCGGGCTAATACCTGCGCTGCCCGCACGTGGGCGCAGCCCCTAGAATAATTAGATAAAATTAATTATAAATTTTGGGAATATGCATCGTCAGCCTGGGCACGTGCTGTGGCACCTGCCTGCTTGCTGCTTGTGCACATGGGCAGAATCCACATTGGAACACAGCACCACATCTTCATTGTATATTTACTCGCAAGAACAGCGCATCTCACATCACAGCTAGGTTCGCCCGTTCTTGTGCACCTTTCGAGCATCCTCTTCTGGACAAAGCAGGGAAAAGGTACGACAAATGCAGGCAGAGCCGTCTGCACGTGTCCAGGGCTTCGCATCCAGTATGCTAAATTGTATGACTTGTATACTTCCGCGAAGTGGCAAAAATATGGGGCTCTTGAGTCCAGGGTTTGCGGACTTCGGGGCGCAACGCTTTATTTGGACAAGATGTTCTGGTGTTCGTGCTTCTGTCGATGATCAAAGCCAACACATGCTGCCTCAGGCCCACAAGCGTTCTAGTGAAGTGCTATTCGCGCCAAGGTAACAAGCTGCAAGCATTCCGAACTTTTTGTAGCACCGGTCTTCTGCCCATACTCTTGCTCTAGCTTCTGCTTCGGCCTCAGAAAGATGTGTGCGAGTCGCAACACGGAAACCCACTGGGAGAATTTGATATCTTCGGGGCCAGGCTGCTCCGCCCTCTCTTTTGGGCAGGACCCCGTCCGCGACCTGCAGGATAAAGCAAGAAGCATAAATTGCGGATAGGGCATGCCGCAGGATCCACAAAGCGTTACAAAGAACGACTCTGCCAAGCATTTGCGATTCTGCGTGCTCTTGAAATTTGGACGAGTGGACTCTGCCTAGTGCAGTCTGGGATAGTCTGGGCATGTATGGCATGTCTAAGTTCTCCGACGTGGTGAGCCACTGCGACTGCGACCTGAGAGTGCGCCCTTGCACATAGCATCCCCTGACACTCCGGAAACATGTTGCAAGGCTGATGCTTGCACTTGGCCCTTTTCGCCGTGATGGACGCAAACTTCTCTCTCCTTAATGGGCAACGGAAAACTAGAAACCAATGCACAAGAGATGGGGCAGCACTCCATGTTGGAAAGTGCCAAGCGTCGGCTTTTCTTTTTTCTTCTCGGCGGACTGCGAGATTGGCTGTGTCGAGAGCCTCGTCAAGCAAGCCACGCTTCCTCCTCTCAGGCTTGACTCGGGCGTGCCAAGAAGTCCTGTATGTGTGTATATCCCTGTACGTATATATTGAGAGGCCGGCGTCTTCTGACACTGCGACTCCTGCTACAAAAACTGTCGCGCACGTTGCCAAAGTGCGAACTGGGCATGCAACACCACTTGCATCACGACCTGCTCTTGGGGCGCAGCTTCTCGGCCGCCTGCACACCACGAGCAGGCAGAACAAGGCAATTGCCCTAGATTTCTCGCATGCCGATGCATTCTCAACTGCGAGAGGTAGTAACGGCATTCTGCAGGCCGATCACACGCACAAAGGACGAGAACAAACTACTTAAGGACAAAGAATCCCACCGATGCCTGGCTTTGCACCCTCATTGACTCAACCAATAGGCTGTCAACCGCATATCTCGAGGCTCCGTACTTGTCGCCTTTGCTCAAGCAGCACATCGCTGTGCCCGAGCTGCCTTCTCCACATCTTTGCGATATCGCACGTTCTCACGCTCAGTTTGCGTAGTCATCAGGACCTCGGGATAGTCTCCGACAGGAGCAGAAACTCGCCAATCACATCAATCAGGATGGCCTTTTTGAAGTTCTCGTTGGGATCCGTCGTAGGTCGATAGGTTGGTTTTGGCCTGGGCTTGAAGACGATCACGATCAGCTTGAATAAAGGGCTGAAGCCTGACCCAAGGCAACCCGAAAGCATCACCCGGAAAGGCGCCTCTTCTGCTACCTCTGGGGCAGAAGGCTCCCGTACCCTCTGCCTCGCTCAGTTGAGTCCCCGGCCCAGCTTTGCTCACAGTCAGCGTCTGTCCGTCCAAATTCTTGCCGTCCATAGCCCTGATGCATCGTTTATCTTGCCATCGCACGAAAGGTTTCTAAGCAATTCTGACTTTCCCCGGTCCCGTAAGTCGTAACTCGTGGAGCATTGCAACTCTTCTTGGTATGTCTCCGGCTCCATGGCTTCTTGAGCGTCAGCCTTTTCTGCAAACGCCTCGTGGATTGGGTTGGTAGGAGGTTCGAGCAGCCAGTCTTGCAGCACCTTCTGAGCTAAGAACGATGAAGGCCAGGTTGGACTTTGGTGTCTCAATTTGCAGGATGTGCCCTCGGCTGCCAGGCTACAGGCTACCCCCATGGTTCGCATCAGTTCGAGGTCTGGCCCCTTTTCGGGGGAGGTAAGTGTGTTCCCCTGAATTTGCTTGTATAACCGAGGACCGAAGCACATTGAACACCCCTCTTCAGGCACTGCTCAGGTCATCCACGGCTCACTAACGGGATCTTGGAGCCCCGGCCTCTGTGATCTCACAACAGCCACAAAAAGACAAACAGTGCGACCGTGAGCAAAACGGAACACGCGAACATGTCTCGGCCGGTCTTTCCGCAGCGGGTAGGAGCAACAGGTGGTGAAAACAACATCTTACTTGAACAACCCCCACCTCGCCTGCCTTCCGACCTGCCACCAAACAGAAGCTCGCGCAGCACTGCCTGACCTTCCCACCCCAGCCCTGAACCTCGCACCAAACAGCCAGCTTGCTCGAACAACACAACATTCCGCGGTTCTTCTTTCTTTCACAAAGGTTAAGAGAGAGGGATTCGGCCGGATTCTCCTCTCCTGCTGGCTCTCTCTTTTTGTCGCTCTGTCTTTCCTTTGTTCTTTTGTTGTGCATTGCTTACTTCATTTCTTTCTTTCTTGCTTTGGCAATTTGTCCGTTCTTTATGGTTGCGTGGTCTTTCGCTCTTCTTCTCCAGGGCCTAGGGCCGCAGGGAGCGAGTAAGACAAGGCTCCCCGGCCACAACGGTGAAGGTTTAGGGTTTGGGGTTTACGCTCTCACAACTCTGACATGCCAGGCGAGGTTCATGGTGCGAACTGGGGTTTAGGGTTTAGGTTGATATCGGAAGTTTTGCGGGGAGGTGAAAGGAATCGGAGGGATATAGATCTGCGGGCAACCGAATTTTTTTCTTCTCTCGTTCTTTCTTTCCTTGTCTTCATTCCTTCCTTCCGAACCAAAACCAATGAAGGGCAAACACAAAATCAAGAACGAGGGTCCCCCAAAAACGTCGCCCCCCCTTCCGAAAATGCACGCACGCGACAATAAAGACACAGCATGCATGGGACCTACCTTCGCACTTGTTGGACAGCAATCAACCCGACTGTAATGAAATGCCTCCAGCTCAGGTCATGGCCGAAATCTCCGAATGCCCCCTGCAAGGTCGTCTTCTTCAAGCCCCTGCCAACAAACAAAAGCCTCTGTCGTGCGGCATGGAATTTCTGTCCACGCCTTCCATGGCTCGCTGACCTGAGGAGAGGCTCTGAATATGCTTTGGTTGAGGCGGCTGAAGTGAGGCTCTGACACGCACAAGCGATGCCCCTCCGAATAACCGCCGGGAAAGGCACCCTCACAGAAGCTGTAAGGTGCGGGAAGTCAAGGCTCGCAGCTTTGCTAAGGGATTATGTTCACCAAGGCCTGCTCCGAGACAGGTGTGCAAGGCTGGATGAGCTAGGGTGCTGTGTGCATAGATGTGGGCCGCAACTCATGTCGACAAGCGCGCCAAAAGCGTCTTATTCACACAATTATCGGGGAAGGCAAGATAGTTGGAGCCTTTCAGCACACACGTTCTACAAGCTTTACAGATCCTGTTCACGCCTTGGACATTGTGCGCTGCCCACCTCAGCTCATGAGTCTCTTGCCAACTAAAGAGAAGGGCAAGCAGTCCTGGTGGTAATCTCCTGAGTTGCAAGCACGTCGGCCGAAGCTGGCTACGAGTTCATTTTCCCGAACACTAGAATCGCTAGACTATGCTAGCTGCGAGGAGCTTCTCAGTGCCCGCGTGTTTGACCAGACTGCCTGCAATTGCATTCGCATGCTGTAAGTGTAAAATGCATCTGTGCGAGCTTGTGTTGGCAGTCGCAGCGCATTTGCAACACGATGTGCCGTTTTGGTTTTGGAAGCATGCGAGGCACCGTGAAACTACAAAGGCGGGCTGCTTGAGCCCAGCTGCGAATGGGCGGTAGAAAAGGCAGCGCTATCTATCATGCAGCATGCAGCAAATACTGCCAACACTGGGCTCTACATGTGAACATGGCTTGCTAAGGTCTAGTCTCCGCGCTGTTTGCAGTTGTCGAGGTGGAGGTGCTTGGGCCACTGTCCCCTCGTGACTTCCTGCGTCCTTCTGCGCTCGTGGCAGCTCTCCGTGATGCACTACACACGATTTCCGCCTGGGATCAGCGTGCCCCTGCAGCTGGACTTTCGCAATCTTCCTTCTCGGCGAAGGCATCTCGACTATCGCAGGAAGGGCATGATCTCAAGAATCGCTGCTGGGGAGTATTCGTTGACCCCCGGGATGGACTCTTCAGGCGGGGCCACAACGTGTCGAGAAATGTACTGTGCGAGGGGAGAAAGATCCTTCCAGATCTGCCACGGCATCGTGTGCCGATCCAGCCAACCCAAAGAAGGCAGGGCTCCAGGAGGGAAATACTCCATGTTAGGCAGGGCGCGCATCCTGTCGGAAAGGTTCGGGGTGCCACCGTGCCAAAGTCGGTTGTCCCGAAGAATTGCGGCTCCTGCAGAGCAGGAGGACTCGGAGACAGTTGGCTGTTGTCCCGTGTGACGTGAATCCCAAACCACTAGCGTTTCCATATAGCAGCTGTCCTGCTTTTATCGGGCACAGTGTGTTCAGCAACATCCAATCAGGTTCCTGCAACTTCGTTGCGTGTAGCTTCGCTGGGTCCAGACTCGGCATGGCTTCTATTCAGTGTGCTGGACAGCGTAAACAAGCCTCGCGCAATGTTGGAGGGCGATGCCGCCAGCGATGAGAACCGGGCACCACCCGCATCGGACCATTGATCGAAGTGAGGTCTTCCAACACGAAATTCACCTCAGCCAAAATGACCGAAGTCTTCAGCCCTTGTTTGGCTGTTCTGCGGGTACATGGTAAACTTGAGGCTTGTGCCGTCACGGCGGGTGGCATGTCGTAGTCTGCAACATGCTTGTCAAGCGGGCCCCAAATGGCGTCAGGGTGCAGAGCTTGGTACTCCTGGGTAATCTCACAGCATCTGGGTGCGGGATGAACGCTCAAAGATTTCACATAGTGGCACACTGCAAAGACTTGCTATTGTGCTACCGTCCTTGTGCTCTTCCTGCCTCATGTACACATCCAAGTGTCAATTGCACCAGCCAAAGCAACATCGCCCCCACAACCTGCTGCGAGGTACTCATGCGATCCGAAAATAGCCATCAAGAGTGGAGTCGTGGTCTCTAGGTCCACCAGGGAAGCGTAGGCCTCGAATGGCTCTTAGAACGACCCTTTCTCCAGCCTGCATATATTATCTATCGCAAACTCCTCACAGGGCCTCTACAACCGACTAGAACCGGACAGAAAGCGACGTTGTCGCATGTCGCCTGCAGGTGGAAATTGGACTTTGTCCTCGAGGAGTCCCCCAAGCTGTAACCTCAGCTATCGAGGCGGAGATAACCCTTCGCAATCACCCCGGCATTGCTTTCTGAAAAGGGCCGCAGGACAGTTCAGGTTCATCAATGCTGCTACTCTTCGAACCTTCGAGTCATTGCAAACCAAGCAAAGGCCAGAATTAACAATCCAACCGTCTTTTTGCCGACATCTGATTTTCAGATCTGTTGGGGTGCGAGTTGGTGTAAGGGTCTGCCAGCAGCCAGCAGCTGAGATTGGAGTATAGGGCTTTTTCCATGTCCTGCTTGTCTGGTTGTAACGCCATCTGGGGTTGGGGATCTCTGGAAGCAACATTCCTGCTTCAGGGTGCTGGTCCAGAAGTGCCAGGCAAGGCATGAGGCTGGGTTGACTCTTGTATGCTTTTAGGCTTTCCCATCAATATCCATAATTTTCTCTCGGCACATGGTTCCCTTTTCAACGTGCATACCCAAAGCAGAGAGTGTGCACCCACCAGTCACATCGACAAGGAAAGCGAATGCTATATAAGAAGGACCTTCAAATTAAAGTAGCAAGTGTACCTGCGAGGTGAGGTACAGTCAAGCCATCCGCAAACATCCGCGAACTAGGGCTTTCCTTCTTGTCTTCTCGTCCAATTGTGCATGTTTTCACCCTTGAACTTAAAGAACTTACAAATCTTAACTTGATTTGTTTGAACATCCTGCGATTCTTGATGTGCACCTCGCCAACGAATTTGGCTTGCCAGTGAAAAAACGGCATCACGTCACAAACATTCCGTCCTGCAATGTCCCGTGCACGATTCGTATCCTTGCGCCGCACATCACCCCCAAAGCCTGAACCAGTCGCGCAGCGATGTGGCAGCTTCCCTGCTCCTCCACCGAAACTTCCTTCAGGATCGGATGCAAAGATCTGGTCCATGATATTGCTGCAAGCCTGGTCCGTTCGTTCCTTTTCTTTTCCTCCCGGTTGGTTCACATGATCGCTTTGGTCTGGAGATCGATCTGCTAGTGCCATTTGTATTTTGGTCCATAAGCAGAAAAGCAATGTGTGCTTGGAACGCACATGCTGGCCCCCTGTCTAGAGTCTAGAGTGCTACATTGCTGAACAGGCAGAGGCAAGTGACACACATCCCTTCGCAAGCTGTGACTGTGAAGCTTCTGATGTCGTGTTCAGGGACTAGCGAGTGGCAAGCAGCGCTGCAGTTCAGGACTATGAGAGGCTCGCAGTGATAGAGGGTTCTGCTTAGGATTTTGCTGCTGATGCTACTTGCATCGTGCGCCTGCCTACTTCCAAGTCGACCCCTAAGACTGAGAAGCCCGGTGCCTTGCGCAGGTCCTCCAGCTGTAGCTTTGACAGTGTATTGTCCAGGACCACGAAGCCGTTGATCTGAAAGCTCTCCAACGCATGGGACACGTTGAACTCCTCAGATCTGGCCAACTGCTGAGTTGCCGGCCTGACGCTACCTACCGAGCCAGATAAACATGAAAACACGATGCTGAAGCTACCGGCGTTGCTGCGTCACTAAGGTCTTCTTGCCAAGTGGCAGCACTGGACGGTGAGAATACTGGCATCCCCGACATGCAGTTTTGGCTCTCCAGGTGTTGCATCAATGCACGCACGCCGGGATCTGCTGGAGATCTCAGCCAACCTCTCGGATCACCAGTGGGCTTGTATTTAGAGCGACCAGTCTTGTTACGCTAGTCACCGCTAGTCTCTTTGCTGAGAGTGCTGACGGCAGAAGTGGTCGCGCTGATCGAGAGCAGTCATGTTGTCAGCACGCTGACTTTTAAGGGTGCTGCTCACGGCATGGTATAGCAGTGAACCGTCGAAGGAAGCTTGCGAACAGGAACTCACTCAGTTCGCGGGCTTGGACTGCGTACTTCACGTAGAACTCCGCGCCCCAAAGAAATCACAAATCCCACTGTCCCATTGGGCCTTCCACCGCCGGATCACGTTCCTGCGCAAAGTCTCTAGAGCTTCCTACTGATTACTGATTTCGCAGCTGTAGCAGGGGACCATCACAACAGCATCAATGGTGCAAGTTTTCGAGCGGTCGTGGAGATAGGAGCAGGATGAAGCAAATCACTCGGAGCCCTTTTCCAGGCATTCCTGGGCCTTAGCATTCCTTCGTGCATGATCTACTGACGGAGGGTTCGGCAGTCGAGAATTGGCGACCAAAATGCGGATAGTGACGTCTTTGTTGAAGTCTGCGACCCTAGGACCCTAGGGTTTCAGTGTCTCGGCATTCCGACAAGGATCGTAAGCTTTTCGAGCTGCTGACCGGAGTCTCAGCCGATCACGAACTTGTCACCTTCTCGTCCTCTTTATTCTCAGAGCCTTCGCCTTCGCCCCTTTGTCGTCAACACTTCCGAGTAGCAATCACAAAGACCAATCTGCACGACCGGGGTCCCGTAGAGCCTTGCAAGAATGAAGAACGGAACTTCTCGATCACTGAAACCCGATTTGCATCACTCAGCCCGCGCCACCACTTATCCGGAACCCCGACGCACATGACCTTCCCGCTGCCGTCGTTGAGCGGGATGTCCAGCACATGCTCGCAAGGCTGCACGGGCTGCACGTGGGCCAGGACTCCTAAACCTATGCGTCAACATGCTGTGCTGATGTCATGAAGGGGCTACCTCTTGGAACCACGGGGAAGCCGGGGCCGGGGGGCGGGTAGCCGGGGTAAATGCGGAGCGACTCGAGAGCTCGGATTAGTCGCAGAGCGCCTCGAGGACTCCTGGAGACCATCCTCGTCTCGTTTTCTGTGGACTCTGGATGCGACTCCCGGCTGGGTACTTGAACTTGCGAAACGGGCTCCAAGATGAGTGGAATTCCGTAGAGGCGGTCACCCAACAGCCATTCTACGTGCTTGGGGCCTTTTTTGCCTCCAACCTAGCTGGGACGAGCAGCCCACATTGAAGGGTTGAGTCAGGGATCAGTGTTGAAAGAACAAAGATTCAAGGTACATCCGCGCGCACACAGCATCTGCAATGCTACGTGCCAGGCAGCCGCTATAGGCAGAAAGTAGACTCACATCGCTCTCCTTTCAAAGAATTCTTGGCCCTCTTTAGGACGCAAGGGCGCTTTCTCATTTACGGCGTCGAGCTGTTTCGGTTTTGTGGGTCGTGGTATGTCGTGGTTCTGGTTCACGTCATCCCTCGTGGGTCGGGGCTTGGGGCGGATGCACCCATCGGTCAACTTGTATGCAGTATCCCTGCACATGACTCATCCCCCATCATCCCCCTCGCACCCAGCAGGCCTGAGATGCAGTCACTAGGATGGCCGGAGTTTGGCAGTTAGTGTCATGTTTGAGGCATCCCCCCCCAACCCACATGGCTCCTTGAAGACAGAGCGCCACGGACCGGATGGCTCGTTGGCCGGCACTCGGAGATTCCAGGCCACCTCGCTCCGGCCTTCCAGGCCCAGGAAGCCTGGACAGATTTTGGGATCTCCAACACTTGACGCACTGGCCAGCAGATGCTAGCCGTTAGGCTTTTAGCCATGACTTGTGGCTTGGCTGCTGAGAGACCCAGTAACCAACATCGCCGTCTGGGCAGCGTCCTTGTGCTGCCGGAGGCCATGCTAAATGAGGCTCCCTTGCCCCTGGCTCTGACATTGGGAGCATGTACAAAATGTTGCGAGGTCGTTTGTAACAGTGGCTCCAAAGTGAGGCTCAGTTCATGTGTTTGAGAAAGCGAGGAGTAGGTGTCAGAAGTGATCAAGCATGCCAACACTTCTGGATGCGGGTTGAGCATCTTGCGACCACATAAGCGGCTGGGAGCAGCCGCGAACTTGACATGCTGTGCACAGTAGCTCCCGTGACCCATTATCAAGCTTGCCTTCGCACACAGCCTTTTGTAACAATTTTGATTGCGTTCTCTGTCGGTGATGCCACCGCGAAGCCAGCAAAGCTGCTCGATACCGCTGCAACACGAGCCTCGGAGAATCTCGGAGAATGGGCCGAGCAAAAAGCCCAGGTCCCACTCGAGCGCAGGCCGAGGCTCTCTAGGTAGGGCGCAGAGCGCATGGATCGGAGAGCCGGCGAAAGGCCGAAAGCTTCCAGTCGGTCGCAGACTTTCTGCATCCAGAACGTGCATCAGACCTTCCTCGTCTGCAAAAATCTCTGCTGACTCTACTTTCTGATCTGGCTGAAGGCCGCCCTAAGATGAGCTGAGCCACCTCGCTGCCAACTGCCATTTTTCCTTTCTCAAGAAGAGCCATGCAAAGAAGCTTGCCACCCGGAAGTTTATCGGACGACGCCGAACGGCATCTTAGTTGGGTCGGCGGAACTCATTTATTTACGCTCTGATGCTCGCGCACTGCTAGATGAGGCCCATGGTTCGCAAAATTGAAGATTTCAGGGGGACTTTTTGCAAAACCAACTTTCGTGACACCCGCGGTGTTTTGGATCCGGTTGCATGTCGTCGCTGTGCAACCTCTCCGCGCATACTCGGCCATCGTGCCCGCATGACAACAGCCTCAGCGACGGGAAATAGGGCTGCTACCGGACAACCTAGACCTGGTCGGGTCTCTTGTTTGTTCTTTATACTCTATTTGATCAAGCCCAGCACGTACAAACGGTCGCCACAAGGGGACACCAACGGCCGTGAGATCCGGGACACTGCGAACCGCTCTCACTAAGTCGGCTTCGATATATATCCCAGGGGTTTTTGCACGAACTCCCCAGGCCCGGCCTCGCCCCGGAGGAGGCCAAAGCGGTTGTACGACCAGCGTGGGGGCTCTCGCTTTGGGTAAGTGATGCTTGCCTCATCTGCAGGTTTTTGTCGGCTCTGTGACACGACGGCCGCTTGCTGCAAAGATGCGCTTCGGCGAGCCAGTCCTTTGGGCGTAGCTCTTTGACTGGCAGCCGGAACCAGTTGTGGTGCTTGGAGGCTCCAGCTGCGACCAAAAACCCGCCGCACACCTTGGCCAAGCCCAGATCTTGGCACAGAGAACTACTGGAACTCGGGATCTCAGGCAAGCGCGGCAAGCGCAAGGAGATCACCTCTCACCTTGAAGGGGGGTAACATCGGCACATGTGCCTGACGTGCACGCAGGCGGCCTCAAGGTCACCGACGTGATGCCAAGACGAAGCTGATTGCTTGTCAACACCATATCGCCTCCAGACTTTGATGAAGTTGCACCCGATACTGAACAAATGGCCGTCGTGGAATAGCAGATCACGAACCCAACCCGTGTGCCCGCGAAGAGTGGCCAGCAAGGAGCCATTCGGGCCGAAGATGCTGGCTGTTCGCCCGGCGCCTCCTCCAACCGCAACGACTCCAGTTCCGGGCTCCGTGGCCACTGAGAAGAAGGGACTTCCCAAATCGGGGTCGGTCGCCTTCTGGACTTGAGCCCATTCACCGCCGGCCTCTTCCCACCATTCTGCACCACCAGCGGCCAAGATCAGCCGAGCTTTTTCGCGAGAAGGCAAGGCCGCCAGGGCTCGTGGGCCTGCCGTAGCAGTGCCTGACAGTGGATGCTGTGCATGGGCTCATCGAATCCACAACTTAGGGAGCCTGACAAGTGCGGCAGAGCTGCTCTGACTTCTGCGAGCGATCGTTGGTTGACGCCCCGATTGCCCAAGGCAGGTGAGTGATGTAAGTGGAAGCAGGAGCCACATGGGGCCAGCAGGACTTGTGCAAAAGATGCCTCCACCTTCGGACACTTATGGCTCAGGCTACTGTCACTCTGCATCCTGTCGATGCACCCTGTGCGCAACAGCTGCCTTAAGGCATGCAGAAAAACCTTTGAATAACTTTGCATGAAGCCCCAGCTCATTGTCTACACCAACTGAGCAGCACGAGAGAGGAGCCGGAGGTCCACAGCCACATCACAACAACCACGACATCCAGCGTTCTGCAGGCTGCTGAACCAAACATTACCACAGCTGTGCTACCATAAGTCACCAGTTGGAGGCCCCATCGATCCCCCTTCAAACCCAACGAAGCGGCAGCCGACTCCCAGTCTCCTTCCCAGTCCAAGCCAATAGCCGGCACCGTAGGTGTTTCATACAAAAGGATGATTCTTCAGAGGCCTTCATTATCTAGCGAAGTCTGTACTAGCATGGCCTTCTTCCACCACAAAGAGGGTTTGTGTCAGTCGTACACAGGCTTCACAGCGGCTCAATGCAACCCTCTTTCCGCTGTGGCACCGAGACAAGCGCATCCATGAATTGGGCTGTACATGCTCGGAAGTTCTCCGGCAAAGACGGCTTGGAAAGCGCGATCGTGAGGTCCAGCCGACAGTGCTTCCTACTGCTGCTGGCTGTTTGCCCTGAAACCAGCGACTTTGAAGAGGCCACTGCTGGCAGCTTGTGGTCTACCTGGGGGCCGAAGAGGTGTTCTACACCGGCTTCTACTATGAAGCAATATCCAACCTTTTGCTAAACCTTACATATAGTCCGGTTCAACCGTGTGTGTATATGTGTATAGTGTATACATATATATATATACACACAGACGCAGAGAGAGAGAGAGAGAGAGCGAGAGAGAGAGAAGCAGGCCGACGGCTTCTTGCGTTGACATGGTCCCTCCTGCTTCGCTGCGGAAACTGAAGGGGTCCCAGAAACCGGTCCTACTAAAGCCGGGCTCAAATGGGTGACATCGAGCCCGGATGTAAATCAACATTTATTTTTTACAAGTGGTCGTCGCTGTTGGCCGACCAGCTCTGCATCAATTGCAGCTATGCAGCAACGGTTCTGAATTCGGAAGCATGGCTAAGCCACCAGAGCCGCATGCTACGGCTGGGTGGCATTCTCTGGGGGCGTTGATGACGCAACCGTTTTTGGCAGGAACAGCTCAGCAGCTGCAGTCTCAAGCGCTTGATGCACCACCGATGCTCTTTGGGTGCTTCATCGGGCTCCTCGGCTGGCATGTGCCCACTCTGTGCGTGTGTGTGGCCATGCACGATGGAAGAATCCGTGGTTAAAATGCAAAACGAGCCTCCCCAAGCAGCTCAGCAGAGTGGGTCCCGGCTTTGTGCCGATTTCGACCTAAGCCATGCAAGCGCACATGCGCGTCCGTGTGTGCGCGTGCGGGCGTGCAGGAGAGAGAGTGAGTGTGTGTGTGTGTGTTTGTGTGCACATATAATAAACGACTGAAAACATATATACATAGATACCTACGTATATATATATATACATACGTACATATATGTGGTACCTCCCCATGTCCCTACCCTTTCCCTTTGTTTCTTGATCAGGTCTCTCCCACAGAGTCCCAAAGCCACGAGATCGTGCTCCCCCCCACGCAGTCTCAGAACCAGGAGCCCAAATTTTGGATTCAAAACATTGGAAAAACCAGCAACAGCGGCACACAGAACAACAACAATAAAAGCGGCGCAAACACACACACACACACAGAGCCCAAAACCTTGGCAAAACCAAAAAACCGTACGTACACACAGAGCCCAAAACCTTTGATAAACCAATAAAAGCGGTGTGCACAGAGCCGGAATCACTGGAAAAACAAATGCAACGGTTCACACAGAGCCGAAAACATTGGAAACACCAACAAAACCATGATTTTCAAACTATCTCCAGGCGGGACACCAATTCCAGGAGATAGTTTGATAATCATGGCTTTTATGCGTTTTTTCCAATGCTTTCGGCTTCTGAAACACGAAAACATTGGACAAACCAATAAACACCATGATTTTTAATCTATCTCCAGGTGTGACACCACCCCGGGGAGATAGTCTGAAAATCATCGTTTTAATGGTTTCTTTTTTTCCCAATGTTTTCCGCTTCTGAATCACGGAAACACTGGGAAAAAAACTATGAAAGCGGCTTGCACGGAGCTGAAAACATTGAAAAACCAATACAAGAAGCACACACTGATTTCAAAACATTGGTAAACCCCCAAAACGGTACGCACACACACACACAGCCGGAACCAGTGGAAAAACCAATACAACGGTGCACACAGAGCCGAAAACATTGGAAACACCAACAAAACCATGATTTTCAAACTATCTCCGGGCGTGACATCAATTCCAGGAGATAGTTTGATAATCTTGGTTTTTATGTTTTTCATTGTTTGTTTTCCAATGCTTTCGGCTTCGGAAACGCGGAAACATTGCAAACACCAATCACAAGCATGATTTGAGAGTGTCGGTGTGGGAGGGCGCTAATACTCAAGAATTGCCCGGCGTCTCCTCTTCGAAACGGCTGCCAAGATCGTTTGTTCCATTTGCCTGCTCCCTTGACGCACTGGTTCACAGGTTGCTGGAGCCTTGAGCTACTGGCGAAGCGTGGGAGAATCAGTTTGCTTTCCTCACCGTGTTGTACGGGACCGTGGGCAATGTTACATGAAGAAGGCCAGTGGTGTGAACTTCTCCGGCAAGATTTCGCATGGCTTTCTCTCTCTGCAGGAGAGGCTGACGAGTTGCCTTCGCTTTCAGCTGTAGCGTGGCCGGCGTGGGTTCATCTTTTTGGACAGAATTGCCACACTGAATTTTGGTCTGCAGGGCGACTGGCAGCCCATCTACGTTCTAGTGACCGTTGTCTTGCACAGTTGCGTAAAGAAGGCCGTGATTCGGAAACTGTCCAACCGGGATTCGGGAGGCGAGCACGGCGACAACAAAAGCGATCACTACACTCTTGATGCACCGGCGAAAGGCGATCGGATGCCAGTCCTTGCTTCGGAGCCATGCTGGAGTGCTGTGCAACAGGCTGCATATGATGTCATCTGCGACTACCTCTTTGGTGAGCTGCGCAAGCTCAATGAGCCTGAGATTTTTGAAGGCCTCCTCAGGCTGGTGCCTGCACACCCCCTTTACTGGTACGAGACTGTTGAGATTATCGAAAAGTTGTCCTCAGAGGCCCAAGAGCTTCATGACGATGATCCTCTAGATGTGACCACGACATCTCCAGAGCGCTCTGGAGAAGGTTGGGTACGACCACTGGACTGCTGGCAACACCAACGAGACTGCAGTCAAGCCACCGACTCTCCTTGTTTATTCTTTTGCTGAAGAAGTATGATTGGAATGCTAGGACTGCTGAGCTCAGGAACCGCAGCGGGGCCTCGGAAGTTGTACATATCGTGGTATCAGGGTAAGCTGGGAAGCCGATTGGCGCCAGTATCGTGGTACACTTGCCGTTGCGGCCGTGGTGGACCATCTTGGTGCTTCGTTACCTGACACTTTGCGGAATGCGTGGCTTCTGTTCTGGCTGGCAAGTACAGATTTCCGCACCTCGAGGGTTTCGGACCCACCCATTGGCAACTCGCATGTCTAATTAAGCTGCGAACTCCACTGACAGCACGGAAATGCCACACAACACATGGATAGATTGGGTTACATGTATTGTGCTAAGTTTTGGTTCCCGCTATTGTACTAATTACTTTAGTACATAATATGTGACATTATCTTACAGTAGCTTATCTTGCCACGTATCATGTGCAACCAATGAACGAATAAATGCATGACTGCATAAATAAATAACTAAGGAAACAGGAAAATGGCTTATATATATACACACTTACAATTATATTATATATATGTACGTCCATGCCATGCCGCCAACATAAGCTTCTGTAGTGTATGCACCCGTCATGGCCTTTGTCAAACACAGACGGATCGCGCTAAAGAACTGTGACGACTGCGACTGTTGCTTTGACTTGTCCCACCTTGACTTTGACATGGCTGACGCTCGGACCGTCTTAACCCAAGCATCTCGGGAGGTTGGCTCCACTGGGCGGCCTGCGGGGCAATCACATCTGGATAGTTCGCATGAACAGGAAACCCCCAAAGTACCGGAGCCTACCACAATGTTGTTGTCGCCTAGGTTCCACGCAAAGGATGATGTTCGGCGGCCATCGCATTCGGACATAAGCAAAGCCGTTCTGGATGCAAACAGACACCTGTACTGCCGTCGGCCACGACCGCAAGACGTTCGATGCTTCGCTTGCGGAAAAAGGTCACCTTAGCTACGGAAATCCCAAAACTGGGGCCAAAGACCAAAACACATGTGGCGCTCTGCAAGTGAACTAATTCGTCAAAAGAAGTTGAGAGCGACGGCTTGCTGAAGGCACCTTTCGACCAGGCTTCTACTCTGTGCATCTTTGATGACCATCATTGGGAACTGTTCAAGGCCTGTCTTCCTATGCGTGCCCTGCCAGCCAGATCACAAGGAACGCTGCCGCCAGCACAACCAGCAGAAGCGACATGCAAGATGTCACAACAACGAAGGTCAAGGTCATCGTGGAAGCAGTCTTGCTCACCTTCCGGTACTTCTGAAACAGCAAACCGGCAGCATTTCGGCATTCTCTGCATGGTACACGGACGGACTAGTGGCCCTCTTGTCGTTACCCACAGAAAACAAGGACTCATATTGCTCAGTCGTCACTTGTCAAACTTCCAGGATGGCTGAGGTTGATGTACCACGAAGGAGAATTGTGTCTTGTAGCCTCTTGGAGTGCAGTTGGCCTCTTCCAACTTCGCCTTTGTTTGCAGGTGGAGGAGCGTCTCGTCACGAAGGTCCTGTTTGGTTTCCCGGTGATGCTGCTTTTCCTGACAAGTCGAGAGCTCCACAAGAACGCACATGTGGAGTCCGGAGGGGCCGGACGCGTCAGGGCTCGGTGCACTCGCTTCAGGCAAGTGTCAACGTGGAGCTGCCACAAATCCTGCGAATGCTCTGCTGTCATCTCTTCCAGCTCGTCCTGAAGCCACACTTGGGATTTCGGCTGCACAACCGAGCAGTGCCAAGCAGGCTTAAACGAACAGCAGGACAAGGGCACAGAATCTCTCATTGCAGCCCCGCGATAAACAGGACCATGAACAGGCATGCAGTACACACACACACACCCACGCACACACACACACCCACGCACACACACACACAGACACACACACACACACACGCACACAGAGACCGACACAGACACACGGACACAGCCACACACACACACACAGAGACACAGAGAGACAGAGACACAGAGACACAGAGACACAAACACACAGACACACAGACACACAGAGACACACACACGCACACACACACACAGAGACACAGAGACACAGAGACACAGAGACACAGACACACAGAGACACAAACACACAGACACACAGACACACAGACACACACACAGACACACACACACACACAGAGACACAGAGACACAGAGACGCACACACACGCACACACACGCACACACACACACACCCACCCACACACCCACCCACCCACCCTGCGGTGACATCAATGACTTCTAACGGTAGCCCGAGCCTGTGGCGCAAGTACCTCAAAAAGCATGGTCCGCTACTGCTGGCATTGCGGACTGACCGCTTGCAGGTGAACAAGCGGGGTCGTCAGTATCAGAAGCGGCACAGCTGCGGGAGCCAACGACAAAGTGGATAGCACGGCCAGACTGTGACCCTCAACATTGAAGTTGTGTTGGCATGCTGGGAGGAAGGCAGTATTTTTCGCAAGTGTTTTTCAATTAAACTGAAAGCTAATTGTTGCAGACAGGAAGCTCCGGAGGGTTGCAGAAAGGAAACGATTAACTTGCAAACTGATGATTTCTATAGGCCCCTCGGCCCTCAACCCGACATGTTTTGCACACAATTAGCTTGCATGTTAATGGTTTCGACCCTAGATGGCATGGAAAAGAATTTGCTTGCATGTTTATGGTTTCTGCAGAGCCAGGAACCTCCTTGAATCCGAAATTTTCCGGCAAACAATTAACTTGCTCCTGCAGGGCATCGAACATTGACTATCAATTGTCTGCGTATGTTTTCCGTCAAACACGAATAATACTAGTAAGTTGCTAGTACCAATGGGAGGACAGCCAATACACATAAGCGGAATACTACTTCTATTAATCAGCGGAATGCTAGTACTAATAAACAGCATGCCAGTAAGAGCAATGCCAGTACCAATACGCGGCATACTAGTACCAATAACAACAAGAAGAATGCTAATACTCTTAAGAGGAGTACGAATACTACTAATGAAAGGCATACTATACTAATAGGCGGAACATTGGTATTGGTACTAATCCGAGGAATACGAATGCTTCCTAGAGGAATGCTCGTAGTAATAAAACAAATACTCGTACTTCTTACAAGCATACTAGTACTAATAAGAGAAATACTTTCACTAATAAAGCGCAGTTTCTGTCGAACGCAGAAGGCCTCCCAACGGTTTGTGAAATGAAATGCACGAGTAGTAGAGGTACACTACGACAGTGAGACATGCTCAGCGGTCATAAACAGTACCTTCAAAGCAAATCGCGCTGCAATGAGGAAAACAGAAATAGAAAACTGGGGCCACGCTTCCCAAGCAAAGATGACGAGATTACCGCGAGGAATACCTGGAGAGGCAAATGGCCTTTGGGACTGCATCCCGATACATTTTCTTCATGTTACACAGCAAAAGCTCCTTCACGATTTCTAGCTGACTGTTTGATCTCATCCCGGTCCAAGCTGCCTTGGGCCTACCTGGCCGCCTTCCGGTGGGAGCTCTAGGTGCCAAGTCGTCCGTTGTGAAAGTAACTTGAGCTGGAGGGTCTGCAGGGCTGGCTCGCAATGCGTGCCCAAACAGGCTGAACTTTCCCTTGCGCCAGGCGTCCGCCAAGTGCTCAAAAGAACAATCGAAAGTGTCTGTTAGCAGGGTTTCGAGGTATGTGGCAGAGTTCTTTCTCGGTAAAGGCTTGCGTTGAGCCGGACCTGCCGGATCATCAGTGCGATCGTGCGGAAACATAGGAAGGCTTTTCTCCTTGACCCAGCTCTTTGATACGGCATCGCGGTACTCCGAAAGGCCTACTGCGGGGATTTTCTAACTTGTGCCAACTGCCAAAAGCACCCTGCATTTATGAGGAAAGTCGAAGCTTGTAGTTTCTTTTCCTTGGGAATGAATGGTATTTGGGCTATCTCACGCGGCCTTGATCATGATGAATGGTTGCCAATTCTATTCGACGCCCTGGGGTGCCTCATCAAGGCTGGTTTGTCGGTCAATCACCAAATACCACTCTACGATGGGGAACTAAGAAGCTCTTGATTAAGCTCCTAGTTTTGTGCTGTACTTTCGGTCTTTTCAAAGCTTCGATCGGTGTTGTTGGAAAAATCTTGTTGAAAGCCTTTTCCCCTAAACCCAAACAGCACCAGAGTGCCGCTACAATCAAGTTTTTCAGCCATATCTGGCAATCTTCTGGGTACGAAAATTGCTTGACTAGTGCTCCTGGATTTGCCGAACCCATATCGGGTTTGCATGAGCCATGCATCCAACCCTTTGTCCAACCTTTCTTCAACTAGTGCGGCACTAATCTTGGAGCATGACGTTGACAGCGAATTTGGCCTGTAGTTCAAGAGAAGTAGACTCACCTTGTTTGTAAATCGATACCACGACAGCTTTGAGGATTTGCTCTGGGACTTCTCCTCCTTCAAGACACTTGTTGGCGGCATTCAAAAATAAAGTCTTTGTCTAACTATTTGTAGAGCTCATCGTGCCAGGCGTCTTTAGAGACATGATTCGTCGACATACATAATCTACGAGTAGTTCATCAAAAAAGGGGATTTGTCTGCAACATATGAACCATTTGCAGCGGACTGTTCTCTCTAGACAGCTGATTTGGGAAGGAGGTTGACGAAAAGGAACTCGGCAGCTCTTTGTGGGTAGTCGGCTTGAGGGAAAAATGTAGCATCCTCGTTGTTGAATTTTGCGAAGTTCGGCGTAAATTTGGTGCGGAGACGTTTCCGGCGACTCCACTTATATCCTTGCACTGTACCTTACCCTAAACCCAAAACCCTAAAACGTGTGTCTTTAACTTTTGCGTTGTGTTGAAATATCTCTGCTAATCGACTCAGCTACATCCTGTTGACCTCTTGTTGATGTTGACCGATTATTGTTGCCTTTCAATAGCTTGCCATTTCTGCTCTTAAAAGCGCCCACATGCGTTGTGACTTATACTCCATTTTTCGTTCGGAAGGTTGTCTTTGCCAGTATTCCTTAGCAGCTTGGAGACGAACTGTGCTCAACTGGTCAATGGTTAAATCTGCACTGTTGACTCGCCTTGTTCCTGGCATCATCTGGCATGTCTGTGGATCTTAAATGAGTTTCTTGGGATTTGGTTTCTCTTGTAGGCATATAAATGTCAACCTTTTGTATGATTCTTTCTCGCTTCGATGCTGAAGATAAACAAACCTCTACAATGGAGAGCTGCGATTTCAACTCTTCCGGGTATTTCTTCTGCAGGACAGCTGATTGGTAATCGGTAATTTCAAATGTTATACTACATGCATCTTCCAAGCTAGGCTCTGAAGTGTCTGACGCGACGCGTGGTTCGATTTGGGGATATGCAATGTTGTGTGGATTATATAAACTTGCTGGTTCTGGAGCTAGGAAAGGATTGGCCTGACTAGCCAGGTCTTCGACCTGCTTCCAGGGCAGGCCAAAGCAGGGCGGGCAGGGCAGGGCAGGGCAGGGCGCCCCTCTTTTGGAAAATTTGACAAAATGGTATCTCATGTGATGAGCACCGCGCTACCTCGTGATGTTGTTTGGGGCTCGCATGTTGGTTACCGCTATCTGGTCGCTCGTCGAAGCGATGAGCGGCAGCGCGGCTTTCCCGCATCACCTTTGGGTGGTCTGCTGGCGTCAATGATGATGTCGATAAGTTGGCTAGTATTTTTTTCTGTTCTTGTTTTTCCGGGATAGCAAAATCAGAACACACGCTTGATTATGGAGCGACAGGTCGCGTGTCGTTAGGGGAACAATAAGTGGGTTGTTGACTTGAAATGTACGAGAGTACCGCGAGATTGCCTCGAGAGGCTTTGCTGCCTTTATGGCACCTGCCACGCTGCTTTTCGTCTGCCATGCTTGCGTCAAGCAGCAAACGAGAGTTCCGAGAGACTACCTCGAAGAGGTCCGGAGACCTTGTGGCTGAAGCCACTCTTTGGACCCATCTGATTGCACGTTTCTCTATTCGTTTTCCGTATTGGTGCCAGCTGTTTGGTGTTTTCCACGAGTGGTGCGTGTCAACGCTGGTCCCGGGTTTTCGGAAGAAAGCGAGCTGGGGTGAAAACTATACTTTCACCGTTTCCGCTCGATCTTCTTGCACTTGTAGCGAGCTTGGGCATGAGCGTCGGCGCTGTGCCACAATTCACGCCACACTTCCCAATGATTGGTGCTGTCGTTCACTACTTGGCCCGTCTTTGCATGCGACGTTGCATTGAATGGCATGGTCGTATTGTCCATGGCTTTTGGAAAACTTCCTTTGCTCTTTCCCTTGCCCTTAGCACGTCCCGACTGGTTGAGAAAATAATTGAACTTTGACTTTGACACCCACGCACGTTCACACTCCACGTAAATTGTGATGTACTTGGGGGACAAGTGTATGATCATCTTGCCATCATCAGGAAGGAAAGAGTAATCAGCGGAATACTATACTAAGAGCTAAACCTATACCCAGCGAACAATTAACTTGCAATTTAATTGTTTTTGCAGGCCTCGCAACGATGTAGCTATTCAATTGTACCCGTTGTGCAGGCTAAGCTAGCAACATTTAATTTGCATTTTGATCGTGGCCCTAAACCCTCCACAGAACCCAAGTACCGAAACAGTTAACTTGCATAATCTTTGTTCTTTCCCGGAGCTCCTTTGTCATGTCGTGGTCTTCGCGCTCCTCACAGAAGCAGCTCTATGGAAGCTCTCCAGCAGGAGGCCTGCAAACAACGGTCGGCAGCTGAGCGTGCAACGAGGGCCAAAGCGAACTTTGTGACGTTGTGATTGGCCTGCTCCTTGCAGCTTTGTCGCGTGAACTCCTACCATCGTAACATCGTAGCCCGACCCCAGCACTGCACCAGCAAGGGCTTTCTGGTCACTCCTCAAGGAGGTCTCCCACCAAGTCTTCCAGCTCCTGGAAAGTAGCACCCCCTATACGAGCAAGAACTTGGAAGCTCAATGCCACGGGGAGTCCTTATAGTTGCTCTGGTTCGCCTGATCAACATACGAGTAACATTTCCACAGAAACACGTGCAAAGCATCAGCTTTTGCCAGTCTGACTAGGCCCTCGATGTGGAAAAATGCAGCACACCACATCGGCGGGTAAGTGAGAGCCTGCTGGGCTTCCACCAACAGCTTCCGCATGTACTTGAGATCCTTGGCTCCAGAAGCACGATGCACTGCCATTCTGAGCTTGTTCTAGCAGTGCCGAAACAGCTTTAGGGCACAACTCGCACGGACCACAAGAGGTCTCATGCTCGAATGCATAGGTGTCATTTCAAAGAGTATTTCAAAGTCGCAGTCAAACGAAAGCCGTGTTGGACCCCATGCTGTGCAAAAAGCATCCTGCTCTGCTTCCAGGATCCTCATAAACAGCCTCGAGAGAAGTGCCGAGCCTGGTCGTGTTCTCCTGCCAAGGCAGGTTTCACCACAGAGTTGCGCTGAGATTGCCCAGCCTGTCTTTAACACAGCACATTATGTTCGAATCTCACTACCGCGTAACCCGGCTGTGCGCTGTACACTGGGTATGAAGCCGTTGCCCACTGGTTCGCTTCAGAGAGGGAGAGGCCGGCGCCCTGCCTTCAGCTGTTTGTTCAAGCTTTCTTTCACGGCCAAGGCGCTCAGAAGGTCTTGCCTGCTGCGGTTTGCATGGACGCCCCGCAACTCACCACAATGTGCTCTATGACCTACTGGACGGGGACCAAGTCTCTTTGCCTTCCCTAGCTCTATCTCGTTTCAGCCGCATTCCAAGCTTCTCTTTGCAAGCCAGTGTCTCAGCTGCCACTTGCTTTTGTTTCAGCGCTGCAAGATCAGCCTGGCAAGGTCGCAGGCCCGACTCTTGCTTGCTGCAAGCCGTAGAAGAAGCCTACCGTAGCAACGCCCCCCCCCGCGCGAACGCGCGCAGCCGGCTCAAGGTTTCGGCCTCTCCCACTCCGGTGAGGTGTGTGCTGAAGAAGCAGTATTGTGACATAGTGCAACTCACATCACATCCTCCCCCGGACTGCAATCTAGCCGGTGCACACCCCGCATTTCCAAACACCCCTGATGCGCACTCTCTCTCTCTCTCTCTCTCTCTCTATCTCTCTATCTCTATGCCTCTATCTCTCTCTCCCCTGGGCATCAGGGACGGACGGGCTTGAAGGCCACCGAATTGTTTTCGGGTTCAGGGGAGTGAAAACTGAGAAATCTGCGATGCGATGGCAGGGGCTGTGGCTATAAAGTGTACAATGACGACCTCTTCGCAGTTTCCTCTCTTGATCTCTCTTGACATCGGTTTCATCTCTGTACAGGGAAAGACAACCTGGAGGAGCTAAATACAACCGCAAATGAAGGAAGTAGCCATCGCCCCCTGTAGCATACCGAGCTATCACAGCTTTACAAGTTGCGCCCCGTGTTTACAGATCGACATGCGCAAGGCTTCTGGGGAGCAGGCCAAATTACCAACAATGACGACAAAATACGACAATCTATGAGGCTTTCAGGAACAAGAGCTTAAATCCACCGTCTGCCATATCCCCCGACTGAATAGCTCTCACATATTGGGATGAAGTGATTGTGCACGGTCCCCTATGACGAGGGGGCACATCAAGTTCGAAGTGGGAAGGACCTCACCGGATACAGCAAGTCAGCATGCAATACCCGTGCACAGGCATTGGATCGAGTTCGTCCATCCAGCACTCCCCACAACACCTTGAACCACTGCGCCTACCAACACGCCCTAAAGCACCGGACAGTCTCCGCCTCCGCCTATGACAAACTTTCAAAATGCGTGGCCTGAATGCAGGAATGGCATCCTTTGCCTACGAGTCAGACCTGTAGCAGACTCATCGATCTCCCGCCATCCCATCCATCCCTCCCTCCCTGGGCAGCCTGCGACGAAGATAAGTTCGCTTGTGTCCGGAGCAACTCCGCAGCCTCAGCACTGAAAGGCTTCGGGTGTTCACCGTGGGGTGGCATATCGTATCACGAGCAAACAGGAGGCACCTCGTCGGCAGCTATTTCAATCTGCTTTTTTTACTCCCCGGATCTTCTAGGTGCTCCGTTCTGTGCTGCCTGGCTGCGGCGGACTGTGCCGCCGATTGTGCAACCACCAGCGCATGCTTCGTCAAGTTCCGCCTGTGCTCAAATGGCACCCTGGCCTTCCTTTCCCTGACTCCATGGGAGCGAAGGCTAAGGCGGCTAAGGTCGAGAGGTAGCGTAATCGGAAGCTCTTAGCAAGGGCTCCTTTGGATCCAGGAAGAGAAAACGACCGAAAAGACCCAGCGGCTTCGCGATGGCATTCTCGATTTCCGAGGAAAGCTCAGAATGTGACGACATGATCTCGGACCTTGACATCGACATCAGACCAAGATGGGCCAAGGTGTGTCATGCAGTGCCCCCAAACACTTCCACGCCCGGAGTTGTAGCTTGAACACAAACATGTCCGAATAAATGTTCATAGGGGCTACGCCTACGCACACAATTTGGGTGGACTTCCTCGTGTCAAACGCTGGTTTGTACATGTTACGGCTTCCCGAGCTGGACTGTCAATCTCATGTATGCAGTCATGTTACTTTGGGAGATCGCCAAAAACATTTTTCTGATGTGAAAGACAACCCAACCGTCGCAGCCTTCTGCGTGTGAATGCCTTATCTCGACATGTGACACTCGACTCTCCCACTTGTGGAGGAAGTATCCTAATTCTCCATCCCCGCATTCTGGACTAGAGTGCTAAGCACTCCATGATCCTCGAGACTACAGTCTAGACCCGAGATGACCCGAGTACGGAGATGAATAGATTCTGAGCGCCAGACCAATGAAGCCTAAGTTCCTGACATATGCTGCTGAGCGGAGTTGTGCTTTGCCTTGATGCTCGCGAACTCTTCCCTCGATAGGTTCCTCGACTCGATTGAGGCCATGTAGGAATATAACACGATGCAGCACAATGGAACGACCGACACAAGAAAGCAACTATCCAACATCTCGTCATATTTGGCATACAAGAAGCCCAGGCTGCGAGAACGAAATTCGCATATGCTTGCTGCTTAAGGCTCTGAAGGCTCAGCTCGGATTGGGCCTGTTGGAGGTCCTCGCGGACCTGGAGATCTTCTATGAAATTAGGAGTGTACCGAGCTGTCATTGGGTTCTGCTCCAACCTCGATCCGTTGGAAAGGCGCCCTCTAGAGCAGGCTTTGAAGTAAAGGGGTCTGAACTTCGGGATAGCTCTTGCCATGATGCCGAGGTGGGCATGAAGCGCTCGGCTTTTTTGTCATCTCTCTCTCTCTCTCTCTCTCTCGCGGACTCAGAGGTCTGTCAGCCGCATTGCCGCTAAACTTGTGGCCACACCGCAAAACCATCCATCTGGCCTCATTCAGGTAGTCTTTGTATTTCCGCAGGAGTGCGACAAGCGCATAGAATTCCTGACTGCAGACGTCCGACTAGTCTGCCAACATCTCGCCATGAATGAGTGCACCGATCACGCAATGCTCCTGCCGGGAGGGCCCTTGTTCGGTCAAGTTCTGCAGGCCCGGACTTACCGTCAGATCGGCTGCTTGAACGGAGGCCTCCAAACCTGCAGGGCATTAGAGCGCAGCTGTTCGAGCGAGACTAACTCTACTTAGTTACTTACTTACCCTGCTTAACTTGCATGCATACCTGCCCACCTACCTACTCCACCCTACTCATTCACTCACTCAAAAACAAAAACACACACACACACCCGCTCAGCCATCAAGTCAACTTGTCACGGACTTACTGACTTACCAATCGACCTGCCTACTCTACTTCTGTGCTTACTTACTTGCCCACTTTGGTTGCCTACATATTCGTTCACTAACTTCCTTGCTCACACGCTTCTTTGCTTCATTCCTTGCTTAACTACTATACTGAAGTTACTTCCTTTACCCACTTACTTGCTGTTGCGCCTGGTCTGCAGCGACCAAAACTAGAAGCAGACACAGATGAATTACTTACTGCCTGACTTATTTAGTTAAACAGTACAAGTAAAATCAAGACACACACACACACATAGTGAAACCCAAACACTCTTCCTTATTTCCACAATTTGCCGTTCCGACCTGCCTCGTGCCACGAGTGCCGAGTTCATGGCTTGGGTGATTTGACTGCTGTTGGCCTGCTCCATCAAAATTTTGGTGGCAATCGCACGCTGCAGGGGGTCGAAGCTCGCATTGCCAACCACAGAGATGTTGAACATCGCCTGTCCGAGAATTGTCCGGGTACGGATTGAATCGGACTGGCCTTATTGAATTCATCCATCTGAAAACGGAACTTGGCCAAGGCACATGCAAAGCTTGTGTCGTGTTCTCCAGCATGTTGCGCTGCCATGTGCCATTTCTGCGAATCTCCACAGTGACGTGTGTCTCGGAAGTGGCTACCTTCAGTTAGTATCTACTTGTAGCCTGCGCGATATCTCTTCTTGATTTTCGTCCAATCTCGAAGCTGAGGATGGCACCAACTGCGCCAGCGCGTTTCCCAGAGCACGCTCCACCCCGGACTGTGCTGCAAATCGAGCTGGGCGCGTCACCAGCAAAGTCGCAAATCCGAGCAGGTTAGCCTTTGCTGCGAAATGCTGGCACTCTCCTTTGGAATCACTGCGCGTGACTGCAGTCTGAGGCTCGTGTGGAGATTGGCTCGCTCGGCCATCAGGCTTGCACACGGTCGTCAACGTTTGAGTTTGCCCACTGACACACCTCTCCTGTCGCACAAGCAAAACGTCCTGCTTAAAGGCTATAGAGGCAAATCACGTTGCAGGTCCTGGACCCAGCAAGTATCGAGTCTTGACCTGATGCGACTTGCAACGTAACTTCTCGAGGCCGGGACCGTGGCAGGAGAACAACTCTGCATGGACAGAATTTGGGCGTGAAGGCGAAACCCCCGGACAGCGCGGGAAAACCATGAAGCACGAGCAGCACTGTGGAGCACGATGTCCAACCACTGTGCAAAGCTCTAAATCCCCTGACAGCGGCACTGTGACATCGAGACCACACCGAAGCGCCCGAGCGGCCGAATGGTGAATAGAGGGCCTGCTACAATTTCGAAGCCTAGGAGCGTTTTGGAACCCGAAACGCAAGCGTCAAGGTGGTGACCAAGTCTTTCGCTCTTCACGTATGGACCCTACAACTACAGAGTTGCCAGTTTGGTGGTGGTGGTGGTGGTGGTGGCGGTTGTAACAAAAATAATGAGTACCGCAGCAGCAGCAGCAGCGGCGCCAGTAGCAGCAGCAGTAACTGCCACAACCATGCACGCCGTTGTAAACGCGTAGCCTTGCTGAAGCCACCACAAGCACCACACCAGGGTTCTACTAATCGGCACTCATAACTTCAGCGCGGGCCAGGTGATGCAGGAGGGACGTCATCTTGCTGGTGACTTGCTTCAAGCGCAACCCTACAAGAAGGCCGTCTAACCCAAGCATGTACTGCAGACTGCACAGCTGGGCCACTGTATCCCAAATCTGCCAGAGCGGTCAAAGTCGTACTTGCAGCGGATGGTCGGCTCGCCACGCTTGCAAACCCAGTCGCAGTTCCTGGGTGGCTGCTCACGACAATGTTCGCGAGTCAAATGACCCTTTCATACCCAGTCTCAACCCCCCACTGCAGCTAAGTTTCTGGGACATAAGGTCCGAGTGCTCTGCAGGCACAGGACAAAATCCAAGCGAGGAAATCATGCCACGGGCTGTGAACCTGCGACAAGTTTCTCCCGCTGTGCAGCTTCTCCTACACTGCATACAAGATGTGCTTGCCAGGATGCCGGTCCATGTTGTAGCAGCTAATCCTTGCTTCGAGATGTTGCGAGGCGCCCAATGTGCGCGAATGAAGCATGTGCCGCTGTAGCTCATGCGATGCGCAAATGAGCCCAGCTACCTGCTCCGACACATGAAATCACGGCACCGCTTCGTTGATGGCATGGCACACCTGGGCTCTGGCGCTCAGAGGATGCAGGAAGCAGCTTCCTCCGTAGCAGATTTTGAAGTGCAAGGCTCGCAGAGTTTATCTTATGCTTGCGCAGTGCGTTAAACCTGTCCGTCACAACCACCGAGTGTGAACATCAAGACCTGTCCAGACATTCCCATTCGCCTGATGTCCTCCTTGTCAACGTACATTAGATCAGTAGGCATTTGCAGTGGCTGGAAGCGGCTGGAGCATGGCATCCCGATTCACACAGTGGCAACATCGTGTTGCGAAGAACAAACGAGTGCGTCGTCGCTTTCGCTGCTCCAAGTTGTCATGCAGCCAGTCTTATTTCAGCGGAACAGCGAGGTCGCCTGTAAACTTTCAGTCGCACGTTCGCATCGGGGATTCGCAGCTGAAGTTAAAATGCAAACATCGATGGTGCTTTTCAGTCCAGGGTGGAGCTGCCCCACCACAACAGCATCCGCCACTGCCAGCAGGACGGGGCTTCACAGGCATGGCGTGCAGACTCTGCAAGTTCAGAGGATGACTCGACATTGAAGACGCAGTGCTTGCTCGAGGTTGGGGATGAAAACTTCATGTTCGAGGCAACCCCAACGGCTGCAGCGTGGGAACTAGGCCGCAAGCTTGGGGTTCGCTGCGACTTCAATACGGACGGCAGTTGGTCCGCTGCAATGCCCGTGCTTTTGCATCCGGGCTTGGGAAGTCGGCCGGGGAAGCGACAGAAAACGGCAGCATCGTGCCATGTCGTAGCACTACTGGCTACAGTTCATGATCTTACGATGCCAATGCTGAGTGACGATTTCAACTGTGGGTAAAACTCCTGCAAGAAAGTCAGCTGCATACAACAAGGACGGTAGAAGAGCTTCGTGACACCCAGTGGTTACCGTGAACACTATGGCAAAGACGGACCGTTGCGTCCTGAAATATTGCGGGAAGTGCCAGAAACTGCTTTGAAGTCATCAAGGAGATGCCATCTGTGTGTATTCCCTCAAAAACCAGATACCTTGCACCCAGCATCGTCTCGTTCTCTATGATGTGGCAGTGCCAAGCCCTTCGGTAGTTGGGCACGTTGAATTCGTTCTCGGTTTCTTAAACATCAGCACAGGCCAAAGCCAAAACGGAACAATGCGCACCATCGTCCGGGAACATCATGTACGATTGCCGCTTATACAGACTGGGCCAACGGTCACGGAGCTTCCGTCTGGCCCTAGAAAAGTGTGCCTTTCAATCTGCCTGTGCCAGATTGACCTTTCGCTTCACAGGTGCGAAAACGAAGGAACTGCTGTGCAATGTGGCAGTCTGCGTACACTTAGCTTTCCTTTAAGCTCAGTCTGGGCGCTTCGGTCGTGGCCCCACTGAACTGGGCCTACATGCGTGGCCCCACCCACATATCGCGAACTCTTGTAAGGCAAGGCTCCATAGGTTCATGTCGACCTGCATCGAGCTGCCATTCCTGACTTGGGGCCACCAACGGTGGGGTCAGCTGGCAAAGCAACAATGGGGGTTCTTGAACAGTAGGCGTGAGGCTTAGATTCTGCCACATGAGCAAACCTGCATTCCGGCTTGCCTCTGAGCGTCCATGGGATGATGTCCAAACAGCGAGTCTCCTTGTACTGGAAATTAAAGGTGTGAAGCCTGGTGTTCGATGGACTGCATCTCTTGGGACAGCTCCAACTCCTGCGCTGCTTGAAGCCAGAGCTATTCTGGTGTCATGCTGCCTGCTGCTCGTGCATGTCCCCTCCGTGTGTCTCCCATTCTCAACATGACTCCAGAGAGCTGACTCGGTTTATCCTGGAGCGCTGTCGCGAGCAGGTTCCGTGACGCAGCTTTTGCTCTTTGCTTTCCCTCTGGCAGCGCCTTTGGCTGCAGTGCCAATTGTAAGAGAGGGCCCCAGGCCCAGCCCGCTTCACACAGACGCGTCCTGCTGACACAGTCCGGGCATTCGCGAGCCAGCACGCCTGCTGCCCTCAGCTGCAACGCCAGTACGTGCAGTCTCAGCAATGAACCGTTGAATGTTCCTCTTCCTTCTAAGCGATGCGGGATGATGCGGGTTCCGTAGGAAACGACAGACTCCGACAGACACGGCAAGAACAACACCAGTTGACTCAAGAATTCAAGCCTTAACAGAAGGACGCTGCAGGAGCCTGGGCATCTGTGAGCATGCATGCATCTTTAATCAAGACGCAGCCAGCCACCGACCGCCAGCAGCAAAAGCGACATCCGGTCTTTTGCAGTTGGCACTTTCTACACCCGTGAAATCGAGTGATCCTCTGCCAACTAGCAAAGGCAATGTGCCCCGACCTGCTAAGTTGCAAACGCTGCGTTTCCGAGTCCAAACACATGGCACAAACATGCTGTGTTGACGATGTGACATGTGACAATCCCCACCCCCCCCCCTCGGGTGCGCTTTTGACTTGGAGTCATTGCCCGCCGGCCAGAAGCACAGAAGATGTTCGGAAAATCACCTTGTGTCAAAAGCGCTATGCCGAAACAGACTGAACAACGACCGGTAGCACGCGCCTCAGGCGTTCCTGCAGCTTGCCGGCGCACAACCATGGAGTTCAGCCTTGCGCACGAACACAGCTGCCCCTCTTGGAGCTGTGGAAACACTTCGGGGGGCGCCCGTCTCGTCTAGCCAGGGCGACCAGCAGCAGCACCTGCCGAAGTTTGGACACTCCAAGTCCCTCGGAATGAGCAGGGAAGCCAAATACTTCTTTTGCTTAATTTTGCCAAGCTCTGCTTTCGCAGTGCATTTCTGTGAGTAGCGCACCTTCTAAGCCACCTGTAACACCTACGCACTTGCGCCCTGGCATGCGCAGGTGCCCCGAATTTGGGTTGCAGTGGGAGCCTGTCGGAGATCCGATTTGCTCAGGAAGTTTGCTTTGTGGCGAAGCTACTCGGATCGAGACTGATCTCCCGAAAGGCACTTTGGAAAAGAGCTATGTATGTGATGTGTGTGCATGTGCCGCCGAGCATTGCTGGCAGACTAAGTGGTGGAAGCTTCAAAGTGGAGCCAGCTCCCCTTCCTGCCGGCGGCGGCGAATCTTTGCGAGAAGCCTTGGACCAATGACAGGTGCGTTTTTCTACGTTCTGGGCAAAGGGAGGGTGTTCGCCACAAAGTGTTTCTGCTTTCACCATGGTTTCATCCAGAAATTTCGGCACTGAAGACAAAGCAATTTCGCTCGGCAGGCCTGGTTCCAAGGCTGGACTAGACAAGGCGCGATCCTCTGGACAGTTGGTTTGTTTTGTCGCCTCGGACCCTTGCTTTGTTGTGCTGGCTCTGGAGCTAGCTGGAGCTAAAAAGCAAGGCGCTCCCCCCCCGCTTGCTTGCTTGCTTGCTTGCTCGAGTTGAAAGGCCCAGGCTCCCCCGAATCCTAGCGTGGTGTGATGCGTACTACCTCGCACTTGCTTTCACGCTCCTGTGTTGCCGTTAGCCCGCCCTAATGAATGCGGGCTTAATTAGCATCCAAGCTGCTGGATCAATGTATCACTGTCAACCTCAGTTTATTAAGATGATCTAACCAGCGCGACCTCGCAGATGGTTTAACACTTCGTGTGCCGAGGTGGGAATCCTGACAGCTGTGAGATGAGCCGCGCCCAGTTGTCGGACAAAGAATTCCGGGCCCACAGTCTCGGAGCTTAGCCTGAGATCCGAAGGTGACAAGCTCTAAAAGGAATAGGCCGCTGTAAAGTCTGGGTCCATGCATCGCCGGGCACGGCTGCTGACTCGTTCTCTGCAGCCCATCTTGCACGCCAGGCTGCACGTCATCCACCTTACCGGACTCGGTCTCCTTGTACTGGAAAAGGTTCCTGACCAATCATGTAAACACAAACAACTGACGCACAGCGATCACTACGCTGTTACTTGGTGTGCCCACAGCAATTGCAGCCAAGAGTCTGGACGTGCAGTGTAACTTTGACTCCTGTGCCGGCAGCGACAAAGAGTCCACATCTCGGCAATGTATCTTTTTCTGTTTCGAATCAACATGTCTCCGGGACTGTGTCGTGCACGCTGATTCTCATCATGTAAGCCTGGAAACGAGAAACCCTAGCATGCTTCCCGTCCTGAGGCTACGCCGTACAGCACCACTGCGGTGCACAGCGCGGCGGTGACAGGCCTTGGAACGCACGAAGCTACCTAGCTGCAAACTGCAATCAGCGAAACACACGTGATCCTTGTCCTTGCCGAGTGACTGCATCTTCAGCCAAGCCAAAACAAGAGTTGCCTGGCTCATCAATGTTCTGAACACACACCACAAAATTAGCGCCACAACTTGTCCATAGACGAAAAGGCTCCTGCTCGGGGCTTTCCAGCAGCGGTTTTCGTGGGCCCAATTTGGCCAAATGCTCGCTGGCAAGACTGTGACTATTTGTCCTGCTGCAGCTCCTCATACCAGGTCGCCGTTTGCCCAACCATAGTAGCGTCGGTTGCTCAAGATTCTACTTCAGACACTTCATGCTGGCAGTCCCTTGCCCAAGCAATGGCCGAGAAACCAGGGCGCAACCAACCAGCGCGGTGGTGAAAGCCCAGAAAATACGCTCTCTCCTCTGCCAGCCATCAGAGAAACAATTCACCGCAGGCTCCGGCTGGCAAGTTTATGTCGGCTTCACATGATTTCGTCGCCTAGGGCGACCGAGCACCCGGTGGCGACGCTACAACTCACTACTACCACCTGCAACACTGACCGACTTGAGAACTGCGGAGGTTTTGTTTGCCGAGTCTCTGCTTGTGCATGCCATCGGCAGCCTGCAGCATGGATCCATCTGGCCCGCGCAGTCCAAGACTGGTTCCCATGATGTTCACACAGGCCACCGATGCCACGCAGGCCTGACACAAGCTGGGAAGCGTGTTCAAGCAGAGTCCACCAGCAAGAGCCGAGGAGCGATGTTTCCCACGAGATTCACCACGGCAAAGAAATAGTACAACGAACTGCTCAAAGGATTCACATCGTCCGGGAAATCAATCTTCACCTGCAGCTGAGCTGGCGTCACATTTTATGCCTCGGGGATCTCATCTTTTGCCTAAGCTCTCCGAAACTCAAGATCCCCTCATTATGCCGTCAGAGCCATGCTTAAGGGCCAGTGGAGTGAGGCTTGCCGTGAAAGCTGCAATCATGCAAACAGCGAAGCCAGCCAGCACGGCAGCTTGCGTGCCGACAGCTTCGAAGTTGCTCTTGCTCAGCTCCAGCTCCTCCAAGCTCTGCAAGACTCGGCTACAGCCAGCGAGGACCCGCTGCAACAAACGCAGCGGCTCGTCCTTGCCCTTCAAGTCAGTGGCACTCTTCTTGATCAAGCCTTCCGAGTTGATCAGAATGTGTTGCGAACAACATCTAACAGCAATTCAGAAGGCTAAGTTTAAGGAATAGTGAGCGGTGCCGAGAAGCTTGTCAGTTCGAGCTTGTCGGCCTCAGCAGGTGGAACTCGACACAACACCCACTTGGATCAAGTGCGGCCATGGCACTGCCAGCATGATGCCACTCTATGGCTCTATGGCAATGCAGCTGCTAGGTCTGTGTCGACATCCATGGCTGGAGGACAGCACTGAAGCTGTTCAAGCAACCAAACACTGGTGTGAGCTTTGCGTGCTCTTGGCTAAGCTGGGTCTCATAGCACGACTGAAGCCTGCATTCAGTCTCTCTTTGAATCGGGCACATGCAGCCCAAGATGTCCCAAGGTTTCGCGTGCAAACGCCGAAGTAGCATCACTAAACACAGCGGGAGATTCATGTGGAATGTCGAAGCAGACGCACAGCTGCAAACAACCAGTTGTGGCCTGCCGGATTACACCTCGCTTTTGCTCTCAACCCCTGCTTCAGCCACTTATCCACGGAATCGAAGCATCCCAAGCTTTGGGGAGCTACGCTGTGGCGTCTGCAGGCTGCACTGCACCACAAGCAAACCGGGGATTTGAGCTGTGTCCATCCTGCACTGTCTGACCTCTGAAATCGAAAGCCATGGGGCAGGCTTCCCCGAAGCGACTGACCTTCTCATGTGATCTCGCTTGGTGTCTCTACTCGTAGCCGAAGGCCTACAGGCAGGATGCGTCGTCATTCCGAATCTAAGCCTGAGGTGGCGAACAGACAGGATCACTTCGTCAATCCCATGCAATCAGGCTGGGCCTTGTAGTCTTCTGCGTAGAAATCCTGCCGACCCTACTGCCAAGACAGCTGCAATGCACGGAATCTTGACTACAATGCATCTGCTGGTGGTGTGGGTGCAGCGCTGTGGACAAGATCTTTGCTTCTCGAAGGGCGCGAGCTCCTCTTAGACTTCGGACGAACCCGACACGGAGCTATATCCTCCACACTTCGCCAACACGCTCCCATAGTTTCACTTCGGGCTGTTGTTATATGGATGCTTTTTAATTTCGCTTCTGCCTTTGCACCCGCAGTGAGAAGGTGGGCCTCGGACTTCTGCGCGCGACTTGCGCTTCGAGGTGACAAGGCAGATGACCAGCGACAGGACTTGCGATGCCGGTGCTATGATCAGGAACCTGCAAAGCCCAGAACGAAAGCACTCCCTGCACCCTCCTTGATCAGCTTCAGGGTCGCATCCGTAGGGACTATGTCGCACTTCTTGCCTCTCTGAGAGCACGCCCGCAGCGTTTAAGCAATCTAAGCAGGTTCTGCAAAACAGAAGCTGATCGCGGAGTGCCAAAAAGCGTGCTATCGCGGTGGTCGTTGCAATTCAAATGCAGCTTTGATGCTGGAGCGAGACTTGCCTTTTCCGAGGTGCACCTCGTACACGATTTCATTCATTGAACAAACATGCTAAAGTGCTAGATTCTTGCTAGTTGCTGTTGCCGCACCGCTTCAGTCCGGTCCGGATCCAGCAATAAGGAACTCGACGGGCCTTCTCAAGGTTGTACTGCGCCATCAAGGGAGCGAACTCTGCATCCAGATGCTCCAGCTTGATTATGTGCCGACATATCCGAGGAGCTCTGTGATCGCCTTGACACGTGTCAATGTCAAGCCAAGAACATCAGCTGATCTATCTGACCATCGACTCACCTATCACACGTATGTTCGTGCAAGTGAGCACGAACACCTGACACAAGCAGCCACGTTTTCTGCCAAAACCTTCGGCAAAACATGCAGGCGTTCTAACCTGAGTGGCCAGGGGGCCGTTCTGGAAGGCATAGTATACCTGCAACGCGCGCGGATGTCCCGTGTATCTTACATTCAATACCTGTGCGCGATTCGCTTTGCTGCACCCCTGCTGCCCTAGCTGTCAGTCAGTCACATCAATGCAAACTGGCTTCCAGGCGACTTTCAACGATGACCCTGGCCCTACAAAGCCTGCGGTGTGAAATGGCAATCCTCCAGCAAGGCATCTTCCCGGGCTTGGCCGAGTTTCTCCTGCCGACAAGAGGAAACTGCTTCCCAAGATGTTGGCGGCGTTTATACCGATTCATACCACATGGAGCGGTTCACAGTCGGTTTGAAGTGAGACAAGCTCCAACCCAGCATGTGCCGAAGCGCTCCGACCAGCCTGTGTGTACTTCTCCAGTACTTCAGGCGAGCAGTCCGACGGCTTGCTGAAGTGCCTCCACCTGCCATCCAGCCACTCAAAGGCAACAAAGCTGCTTGAAGACCGAGCTCAGATGCCTCCAATGGCTCAAAAAGCGACTGAGAGGTTCTCGAACTACGCAGAACGAGTCGCAGTCTTCACTGTATCCTTTCGCCTCAGCCGGGATCGTCTGCGATGCTGGTGTCCCAAAGATTTGCAGACGGTTTTCATGTGGAAATGAGGCCAACGCGAGCTGCGCATCCCAAGCGGGAGGAAAGTGCCAAAAGCTGCACCGATCCTAAGGGCCGCGCGAGCGGCGATGGCGGTGCGAGGTTTGGCTTAGGCTAGAGGTACATGGAGGTGTATCCAAGCAACCACACCCTTGTTGGGCGTAGGGGGCGGCACGAAGGATTTGTTTACATAGCCTCAGATTCGAAGAAGCAAGGGCAAGGCGGCAGAGGCTCTGACTCTAGACCCGACATGGACTTCCATCCCGGCTTTCGACAATTTCAGCTTTCGACTCCCTCGCACAAGGCAGGCAAGGCTTCACGCAATTGCAGCTCTGCAGCAGCAGTCGGCACCTTGGACGCAAAGCGACAACGACAGAACGTTCGCATGACCATCGATTCGATCTGAAGCAGAGTGGTTCGTCTGAGACCATAGCCAGACCAGCCGCAGTGCTTCTTGCTTTCCTCGAAAGGCACAGGCACCAGGATCGATTATCTGCATGGAGGCATGCCGAGAATGCGAAACAATATCTAACGCTTATCACTTATCACGCGTGGCAAGCGCAGCGAAAGCAACACATCACCACATCCACCTGCGCAGTACTCAAGACTGCACCTCTACAGTGGCGACGCCAGCAATATGCTGAATGGCATAACAGACTAAGCCATTGTGGAGGCAAATGCTAGCAGCTAGCACGAGGTCATCCACCAGTATCCCGAATGAGCTACCGAAGTTCCCGAGACCCTGTCTGCGTGACTTGAAGTTGGTGTGGCAGCACACGGATGGCGAATGACCCAAGTGATATGCAGGCAAGCTGCACACTGCAGCCTGTCGTCGCACATGCCCCAGAAGCGGACTACTTTCTCGATTTTTCGCATCGAGATGCCTCGATTTGTGCAGGAGCGGGCAGCGACAGACCACATCTGAAATCCCCGCTCCACCTGTCTGTAACACCCTGCTGCAAGCGAACCCCATGGAATCCAAGTACTCCTCAAGCCCAGGTTGGTATTTGGTATCAGCCCAAAACGAACCCTGCTCCGCAAACGCAAAGCTGCAATCACCTGGATTCTCAACGACCTGGTTATAACCTCGGCGGCACATATCTCACTTGTTGATCCGTGACACATACGTGATCAGAGGTGCATGCCTCGAGGCCTTGAGGCCCCCACCAAAAGCTCGTGCTATGACACCCTCAAGGTTCGAGCCTGCTGCCTGCGACTAGCAGGAAGACACAACGATCTAAGAGGGTGCCTCTCCCCAGCCTTGGGAATATGCACGAACGCGAGGCAAGACTTCAAAGCACCGCTCGGCGCTGCCGCCGGTGCTGATGCTTCCGGCGCTGGTGCCGGCAGCAACGGCGGCGCGGGCACTGGCAAAGGTGGTGGTAGAGGTGAAGCGACGGGAGCCGGGGTGGCCTGGAACAACAACGCATGTGCACAGAATCACATGCCCCACCGAGACGGACTTCAGCCCTGAAGGCGACCCATGCCACAATTGCCCATAAGCGGCTTTTGCAGGCGAATCCGAAGCATCAGGTGTACCTTCCTGGCAGCTTGTAGGTGTAATTAGTGTAATTGGTTCTATACAATCAGTTGGGCAAAGCTCCCAACGAGATCCTGCAGATTCAGCGATGCGGCTGCCAACTGCGAGGGGCTTCCTCGGCTGGACGAATGTCGTCACTGGGTTGTCTGGATAAAGAGGTGTGGTGCGCATGCTGCGCGTGGACATGGCACTTCTCGCCCCGGTCTTCTGGGCTGAGCTTGCCTAATGCAACCAACATGCCATAGAACCGAGACGTGCGCTCCAGGATGACCTGGGCATGGCTTTGCAGACGACAAGTCTGCGATGGCTTTGGCAGTGGCCGTCTTGTCAGGTAAGATCTGGAGTGTACGGCGTGTACCCAAATGTGCCGTGCACTCCCTGAGCAGGGTGCGCCGGCCCAAGTTTTTGACCGCGCGCCAATGGATGCCTTGGGTGCAGGGATGAAAGCTCGTACACATGGCTTTAGAGACAGGGCAGGCCTCGGACAGCAGCAGCGCTCCCCCAACCAGCAGCAATGAGCCGCAAACCACTACTCGTGTACGAAGCGAACCTCCGGCCTCGGACCACTTCGCAAGTCAAGCGGCGGCAGTGAACCGCTGTACGGTTTCATGATGCATCCTCTGCCTTCTTTTTGCGCCACGCATGAAAGCATCTTCGAGCATGGGCTGTACACCGGGCTGAGAGCCGATTGGCAAGGCATCTTTGGACACCCGATGCCTTTGCTTTGCTTCGCAAAAGGTACCTGAAAGCGTCATGATCTGAAAGTCATGCTTAAACATCAGCTCCTTGATTAGAGCTCGCGGCACGGTCTTATTCCGATAATGCCTTGTCAGTGGTTGCACCTTCTGCATCGGTAATCAGCTGTGCTCTATCAGCATTTTGCGCACAAGCCAATCCATCGGCGTGTAAGTGGAATGGTCGAATCAACTCGAGCGCTAGCTGTCAGATCCCTACTTTGGGAGAAGTTTGCACACCGACGGGCATGTGCCCACGTGAAGCTTCACAAGGATTCCTTGCAAAGGGCCTGCGTTAGCTCAGTGCCGAATTCACTCCTTGGTTTCATCACTGACCCTGTGAAAAGCAGACCACGTGTTTAAAGAACAATGTTTCAAACAAAAGACTTGTCATGGCATCAACCGCGACCAAAGATGCGGAAGCACACCAGAGGGACATCGTCTGTCAAGCCGTTGGTAGTGCCAGCGATACTTATCAAGTCGTTTTGCAAAACCGGCGCCTTGCCTTCTACGAGTTTGCCGTTGAGCTCAGTCGCAGCATGCGCATCGAGTATCAGCATGGGCCCATCGCTAAGCTGAGCCATTTCCAGTCGGAAGTGCAGCGGCAGTATCTGGGTGCGGAGAGCTGGATCTTTTAGCAGCATTTCCCAGAAATCTCCGGATTGATGCGAGGATCCCACGGAGAGCTCAACCTGCGAGAAGCTTGCCGCCAAAACGCGGGAGGCCATGGGAAGTTGCTCCAAGTCTCTCCCTTCAGCGCCCCTTGCAGCCACACATTCGAGAGAGAAAGGTGGAGGGAGCGCATCCACAGCAATCTTCACCACGTCGGCGGCCTCCTTCTCCTTTGGCGAGAGAGCGGCATCGACGCTCCCCGCCTTTGCACCGAGCAGACGGGGCGCTGCCCCATCCTCGAAGTCAGGATCCGGAATAGCTGCACACTCCAGGCGAAATTGAACGATTGGAGGCTCTTTTGGCTGGTTGTGTAACGGGATGGCCAGAACATCACCGCTGTTCACTCGAGTCTGGTGTTGCACGAGAACGCCATTGTGCAAAGTGCCGGCGATGCTGCGGTTGATCAGCATGACACCATCAGCTGTCGGACACACATCGAAATGCTCGCGTGAGATTGCATTTCTCAAGCTCTCATCCGGAACCAGCGTCTGCCAAAATTCGATGGGCTGCATGGCTCGGCCTACACGTACAGCGCCCGACGGCCCAGCCAAGAGCTGTTTGTTCAGCACCGTGGGTCCGGTGCCATTTGCACCTCGAGTGTACGTATCGCGCGTGCTGACAAGCCGAAGCAGGATTCCCCCGCGCAACCCGGACAACAAACCCACAGTCTGCAGTATCCATGAACCTTAGTTTGCGGGCCTGGAAGGAGCCACCAAAGGCGCACAGAAAAAGATGCTTTGGCTATCAGGTCCTCGCAGAGATGCACCTTGAACTGCAGGGCTGGCCTGTTGCCATACTCGGACCCCACCTGCCCCATGCTGATAATATCTCCATTCTTCAGGATCACCTCCTCCACTGTAGACCCATTTACAAGTGTGCCTTGCGCACTCAGGTTCCGCAGCAAGAAGGCACCCCCCTGCCGCACCACCTGCAGCTGGTACAACACACCAATTAGTACCCCCTTGTGCTAGGAAACAGCACTCCGCCAGAAAGCCACAGCAAGAACGACGATAAACCACGAACCGGTCTGAAGAGCCTCGAAGTGAATGCGAGATATGGTGTTCCTTGTTGCTTCATCTGGAATGAGCTGCTGCCAGACAGGCAAAGGCTGCACAGAACGCCCAACTCGCAAAGGCTCCTGAACAGGCAAGCAGCGCACTGTGACTGCAACGAAATGCGCAGCCGTCACTGCCAAGTCGGCTGACCCCTCCTTTGTCAGCTCGATTTCCATTGGGACATTGTTCAAACAGATAAGCCGAGACCCAGCCGCCATGGCGACCATGGCAGTCCCGTCACAGTATCTGCTAGCAGCTCATGGGCGATCCGTCAATGGTGGAAAGACTCGCTAAGCATGTGCACTCAAACCGTGGCCAGCAATTGAGCCCTCCCGTCTGAGTGTCTGTTGCACACTTCTCGCTACGGCAACATCTCTTTGCTCCGACTGACGCGCGAAGATGGCACACATGCATTCGGCACAGGTTTATCCTGTCTCGTGTCCAACACTCCGCACTTAGGACGAGACACTGGAGTCCGATTGTCTGGGCTTTCGCGAGCGAGCGCCATCGCGGCGCTGCAGCCTGATTTCCATGATGCAGCCGGGCACTGCTGCAACCACGACAGACTCGGATAGGTCGGTATGTCGAGATTAATGCAAGATGGAATGGCTAGCCCGGAATGCTTCGGAAGCCGAGGAATCTCGCAGTTGCCAGGCCTAGACCGTGCATCAGACACCATGCTGCCAGCCGCTCACCAAGCCATGTTCAGAAACATGTCCTGCAGCTTAGGTTAGGCTACAGCTGTGTCGGTGTTGCTGTCTGCCGCGTGACTGGCTGTCACGGTCCCAAGAAACGGGCACGGTGCGGGAGCTGCTGGTTCACAGCTGTTGCCTTTTGCCGTGGCCGGATTGGCTGTGAAATTTCTTGGTCAGGATGCTCGTGCAATGATGACTGCATGCCGGTCGTCAGTTGTGAGCTGAAAGCTGCAGGGCAAAAATCCTTATTCGTGTGAGTTGGGTTCTTCAATAGGGCAGTCCTGCAACGGAACTCAGCACTGTGTTACAGGGAGAGGCAAGAGCGGTGAACCTGCCAGAAGGTGAAGAGGCCAAGTGGAAGGACGACCTTGACTGACCGAGTGGCTAAGATGAGATTCGGCCTCTGGTGGTGCATCTACCACTTCCGAGAGAGAGTCTATTCTTTAACTTCACGGCAAGTCAAAGCCAGATTGAATCATGCTTTGCTTGTCTTGCCTTTCCCTTCCGAGGAAAAGGCTTCTGCGCCAGGTACTTGCTTACCTTCTCAGTTTTTGCTGGCTCAACTCAGGCATGCACGGGTGCGGCCGCATCGCCTGCGGCCTGGTTGGCGGCAGAGATGGATTCCACCGCGATTTCGCGGTGCGACGAGGCGACGCGCCGACCGGCTCATGTCCGTCATTAGGCGATTTCTCCAGGCCTTCGCTGAGGGTACTGCCAGTGTCACTGCTCGAAGAAGCCTGTTCGTGGATATGAAACTTCAACACAAGAGCCCCGACACACAATGTACTTGCTGCAAATTCCGGGTTCGACGCCTAAGCTGTGCATCCAGATCCAGTCCGGGACACAGCCGTGCCAGCTGCACCTCTGCAAAAAGAAGGATTTGGAATCGTCCCTGCGCATGTAGTCTTCTTTCACCGCTTGCGTCTCTAACCGGGATCAGAACCGATTTTTGCATGACGCACTCGGACAAACAAGCATAGGCTTCTGTCATTGATCCAGCCTGCCGAAGAGCGGAAAGCCTCGTGACGTGTCAACTGCCAAACTTGTCTGGATTAGACTTGAGTGTGGAGCCAGCTGCACCACTCACGAGCCAAGTCTTCGTCTGCCTGCACTGAAATGGAAACCACGCGGGTTATCTGGACAACAGCTGTAGCCTTGCATTGCTGGGCCTTGTACATCTGGTTGAGGGAACGCCGCAGCATCTGAGACCTGATCAAGAAGACGTGTTTACACTCTCACAACTCGGACTTGCCAGATGAGGATATATGCTTTCGTCACAACTTCTTGTTTCTGCCCGAACCATGGATGATTGTGTGTTCGGGGGGCCCGATCGCTATTCAGGGTTCTGGCGAAACTTTCATGCGAAGTATCGCTTTACTGACGTTTGGATGCCGCATTTGGTCAAAACCCTCGAAAAGCGATAACATCTGCTTCGTGTCTTCACTCTTCGCGGTCCAGTCCATTATGTCCCAAACGGCCTCATCGGACTCCTCGTGCCTGGCTGGCCTCTTCCTTCAGGTTGAGGGAGCGTGCGAGGCTCCCCGGCCCATAGGGGGGGGGGGGAGAGTCGGGGTGCGTCCTGCCCCTGGTTGGCCTCTCTTTCTCTCTGTCTCTCTTGCTTAAGTTGTGATTTTTCTATGTGCGCACCCACACTAATGCACGCACATACGAGCATGCGCAGGCGCCTTTGTTTCTCCTCCGAAAGATAGACAGAGGAAGTTTCCGGATCCGCCTTCTCCATCCCACCGTCAATACCGAGGCTGCAGCCAAGCTGGCTTCCAGAGGGCCGAATCTGCGCCCTGCTTCGTAGCCTAGGACGTCGCGATACACGACAGTAGCACCGGCAACTATGTACCCCAGGTTTGAGGGCGAGGCAGACTTAAAGTCCTGATGTTGCAGGGTACCGACAGTTGTGAGTAACTAAATAGCAAGAAAGCACAATGGATTGTCCTACATCCTGCACAGAGACCCGAATACCCGTTTAAGTAAGCTATGTGCCGTACACATTCAAACACTAGCTGGACACATGTTTTCTTAACTTTCTTAACCAGGGCCTGTCAAAATCTAAGACCAGTGCAATTCATTCTCAACAACCCTTGCAACATCTTTCAACTGTGCCCTCGGCCATGATGGCTGCAAACGCTCGTACAAGCACAAAGCATGCTGAGCGCGATTCTGCCATCCATGCCCCGGCGCAACCGGTCACCAACCGCCTTGCCTGCATTGCTTGTGGTGCACAAACTTCCAGCCGAGGAAACCTTGCTACTGGACAAAGACTGAACTGCAACTCACCCAAGAGCTCTACAGCAAATGTCCACGAGAACCTGGCCTGATCCAAGGCTGCCCGGCTCGAGCCATCCTAGGCACTTCTCAGGACAGTTCAGATAACTTTCTTCTCCGGCTTTTGTGGGATCCTTGTTACTTGTAAGTGCCATTCGCCTGTGCCCAACGAGCAGTTGAGGGGGTTTTCAGGTTTCGAATTGGTTTTGTATTGGTGGACAACAGCGGCCGAAGTCAGGAGGCGAGAAGGCTGCTGCAGGCTGAAAAAAAACCTGTGCAACAATTTCCCGGAATCTTCATCCAGCAGGCCACATATTTTAAGCTCCTGCGTTCAGCTCATCGTCATCTTCGGCTGACCCCGAATCAGTGCCAGAGTCTGCATTTTCACCACAACAGTCTGGAGACTTTGTCGCGACTTCTTGTGGCACCATTGGCTTTCCTTCGCGCCGTCTTGCCTTGGTGAGGTCTGAAAAGAGTTGGGAGTGCAAGTGCGCCCCTCGAAAGTGCCCAAGCGTGTGGAGAATCTGAGAAGAAAGTCTGAACCAAGCCGGAGATGCAGCGACATAGTAGCCAATGAGAGCAGCAAAGCCTGCCACCACCATGCCGGCCGCTATGACCCCGACGAAGAACACGAACAAGGTGAGAATGCCTGGGTTCAGGTCAGGTTTGCAATGTGCCGCAACCACAGTCTCCTGGAAGCTGCGTGCAAGATGGCTCCCTCTGCTGAGCCAGCCACTGGTCAGTGCATGCTCGACAGCACTACGGATTTGACCTGGGAAGCTGCTTGGGCTTGTCGCCCTGTTGCCGCTCCCAGCAGAAGCCACAGGAGTCAAACTTCTGCTGATCTGGCCTTGATTTAATCAAGGCAGCCAGGCCGCTGCAACAACCACCAGAGCAGCTGTCACAGGCCAATGTCCACGCAGCCTGATGTGCACAGCGGGTCTTCTCTGCCGCAGCCCATACATACGTCACCCTGTGCCTTGATGACAGCCACCACCAATGCCAGACCGCCAGCAGAAAATGCAGCCAGCCAGCCTGTGGCGGAGCTGATGCCATACTGGCTCCTTGGTCAGGACACTCATTTGCATTGCTCTTCGTCACAAATCTGCAATAATAACCTCTATAGTTATCATACGTTGCTGTTACTTTATTTACCGTTGTAGCTTACACCCACAACAACAACCACTGCTACTACTGCTGCTGCTGCTGCTGCTGCTGCTCCTACTACTACTACTACTACTACCACTACTAATACTCCTGCTGCTGCTACTACTACTACTACTACTACTACTACTACTACTACTTACTACTACTACTACTACCACCACTACTAATACTCCTGCTGCTGCTACTACTACTACTACTACTACTACTACTACTACTACTTACTACTACTACTACTACTACTACTTCTTACTACTACTACTACTACTTCTTACTACTACTACTACTACTACTACTACTACTACAGCGACGACGACGACGACTACGACTACTACTGCTGCTGCTACTACTACTACTACTACTACTAATACTACTACTACTACTACTACTACTACTATGTACTGCTGCTGCTGCTGCTGCTACTACTACTACTATGTACTACTATTACTACTATGTACTACTACTATGTACTACTACTATGTACTACTACTACTACTACTACTACTTCTACTACGGCGACGACGACGACGACGACGACGGCTGCTGCTGCTACTACTACTACTACTACTACTACTAGTACTACTACTAGTACTACTACTAGTACTACTACTACTGCTACGACGACGACTACGACGACTATTACAACTCCTACTGCCACTTCTACTCCTCATCACCGCTCTGGCACTGCAACTGCCTCCACCACCATCACCACCGCTGCCGCCACCACCACCACCACCACTACTACTGCTGCTACCACTCGTCGCAGTCGCGGTGGTAGTCGTGGTCATGGTCATGGTAGTAGTCTGTCTTGGGTGACAACTTCTGCTACCACGACAACTGGTCATAATACTGGAAGCAGCATTAACACGGCATTGCCGGGGCAGAACATAGGCACACTGCACAGAGATGGTATGAATGCTGGGCTGCAGCTCGGGTCTACTAACAGCACACGCGAAGCTCTATTCCACCACGAGTGCCCAACACAACTTCAGAGACACTCCCTCCTGAACTACTGGGAAGCTTCAACCGGATCATGGTGGCCGACCGTCGTGCTAATGTATTTAGCTGCATTTAGCTCTTGAGGGTGCCAGAGAGCTTCCTTTTTACATGCCGACCGGTTCAAAAATCTGCCGAAACGTTTCCAAACCCTGAAACCCCTCGTGAAACCCCTCGGTCCAGTTCATGAGTAGCGACATGTTGCATTACTCTACTAGCGCCACGAGTCCCGTAACTGGGTGCCAAAGCCATAGTGAAGCTGAGAACCGGTTTTGCTACCAGCATGGCGCAGTCTTGGCAGGAAGCCAATGCTGGAATGCAGTCAGACACCAGCTCCAGAATCAGCAGAAGGCCAAGCACCACGATACAAATCCAGCTGTCCAACCAGGTATCTTCCAAGTGCAGTGGAAATCGGTCGCTCAGCTTTGAGCCTCAGAATGTAACATCCCGTGCCGACAAGTCTGAGCTTGCGCAGATTCAGAAGAATCACCCTTCACAGCCCTTCATCCCCTTGCCTCTCTGCTGGCAAATCGCCGATGGCCACCAGCAGCATCGGAATAGCTGCCTTGACGCCTGTGAGGCCTTCCGTGAGGGTAGGTAGGAGTGGTCTCTAGGAGAAGAAGCTGCCAGAAGGTGCTAGAAGCAAAGCGGGGCTGTGCAGTCCCTCGTAGATTGGACAGCCTCCGAGGGACAAGCTTATGACATAGTTGCTCAATGCGCAGAGCGCTTGCGAGCCAGTGCATGTGATCTTCTCGTGCTGCAGCTGCAAAGGGTCGGCCATCTGCAAAGCCAAACACTGACGCCGGATTCTTTAGCGTCCCGACAAGCTGAAGAGCTTGGTTCGTTCAGGCTTCACAGGGATTTGCTTCCGCCTGTTGACTGTGGTGCGATCTCTCGCACAGACCAGCGAAATCATGCTATCGACGTTTGGGCCGAAGCAGACAGCACAAATCGCGGCTCAGGCTTGGAGGCACATCTTGGATGTCACGCTACCCGCTAAAAAGCCCTGAGCATGCTGTGCTCCGCACTGTCCAAGCGGCGGAGAGAACTGATTGGTCGATGAGTGGCGTTAAAACCTACAAAACAAGCGGATCATTTTACGGGAAACGGTGCTGCGTCCAGGATAAGAATCCGCGACGTCTTCGCCCCAAGCAGCCTCACGCACATAGCGATCGCTCCGTCGGCGCAAGCCTTTCTGGCACTGCAGCCGCAGGGCAAGCTGGAGACCTGGACTGTACATGACTGTACACTGTTGTGACGTGTGCAATACCAGGGGGCAAAGTGTTTTACCTGAGCAGTTTATGATCCTTTAAATGATGTCTATGGTTTCCAAGTCTATATGAAATGTTTCACATCTGTTTCGTGATTTCCACAAAGGCATGGAAAAGAGGGCCACGCGGTGCGCATAAAGAGAGCGGGCAACTACGAGGCACACTGCATTCTGCTAAAAGAGAAGCATGTATGAGATTGTGGCTTTTTTGTTTTCTGCATGAAAGGCTCCCGAACTTCCCGACCAGGTGGGCTGCGCAGTCTCAGGCATAGAGCGAGAGGGCTTGGGTGGGTTGCTACATCTCAAGCTTCGGCGCTGCCAGGCAAGGATGCACAACAGGTCCGATCTGCATTTACTAACATCAAACCACGCATCCTCCCAAAAAATATTAAACCCGACATCAAAAACCACAAACCCAACAATGCCAAGGAATCCACCGTCACGGACAGTCCGTACTAAGAAAGCCGGAAAAAGGACGGGAGTGTCAGCCTCAAAAGGACGACCGCGTGGGCTAGCGGTTAGGACATCACTCCCAGCCGAACTCGCAAAGAGAACCCGGTAGGCCGTTCGGGGTTTGGGTTTGCGGTTTGCTACTGTCCCTTGCCCCGGTTGAGTCTTGAACGTGTGGGGTTTTCGGCCGTTTGCCATTCCCCCTTGTTGCAACATTTCGGCTCCCTCTGGACAATTTGCTACTGCCTTTTTTTGACACTCACTCCGGACAAAGCCAGGCAGGAGCTGCAGACGATCCTGCTTTTTCGGGTTTAGCACCCTGGCTGTTTGCCGCTCCCGCCTCTTGGATTCAGGGCTTGGGTGGGTTGCTACACCTCATGTTCGGCGCTGCCATACAACTATGCACAACTGGTCCGATCGGCACCAACAGGGTCCGGATTGAATTTCGATGTTAGTTTGTTTTTGTTTTGTCGTTTTTTGTTTTCCGGTAGTTTTCGTGTTCCTTTCTTTCAGGCAAACTACAGCTAGTTTCGCAGCTTCCACACCGTCTGAAGTGGCAACTTCGTCCTGAATGTACATTTACAAGCCTCTCTGCTCATGCAGACTCATGCAAGCTCTATGCGATTTGCGGAAAAAGCAACACCGGTTCTTGCTAGGCCATCCGGAGAGTGCCGGGTTACTTGGCCATGTTTTGGGTAGTCCGCTTCATCATATATCTTACACACGCCCCCTCATTTGGCGATTCCGTTGTATCATATATCTTAAACATGCCCCTCATTTGGCGATTCCGATTCCGACTCATCACATATCTTCAACATGCCCCCCCATTTGGCGGTGCCTGTTCTCTATATATCTTCAACGAGTTGGGGACCGGTTCAACGTGTATCTTGAACGGGCCCCCTCATTTGGCGTTTCCGGTTCAGCATGTATCTTTAAACACGCCTCCTCCTTTGGCGATTCCGGTTCATCATATATCTTAAACATGCCCCCTCATTTCGCGATTCCGATTCGTCCTAGATCTACAAAACGCCCCTCTTTTGGCGATTCCGGTTCATCATGTATCTTAAACCGTCCCCTCTTTCGCGATTCCGGTTCATCATATATCTACAACACGGCCCCTCATTTGGCGATTCCGGTTCATCCTATTTCGTAAACACGCCCCTCATTTGGCGATGGCGATTCCGATTCATCACATATCTTCAACATGCCCCCCGCCCCCCATCTGGCGGTTCCGGCTCATCATATCTACAACACGGCCCCTCATTTGCCGATTCCGTAAACATGCCCCCGCATTTGGCGATTCCGCATCATCATACATCTTACACACGCCCCCTCGTTTGGCGATTCTGATTCAACATCTATCTGTCTATCTGAAACACCCCCCCCTCATTTTGGAGACTCCGGTTCATCTTAGAGTAGGCCACAAAATGTTGGAAACCGGATTAACGACAACTGGTGCTTGGATTCCCCTTAGATTTTACATAACTCTTAAGGATTGTGGCTATTGGGTTTCCAACTTTTGGGCTTCTACTGTACATCGTATTCACGCAGCCGCTGTTGGCGATTCCGGCTCATCAAAAATGTTAAACACATCCCTCATTTGCGAGTCCGGTTCTTCATATATCTACAGCACACCCCCTCATTTGGCGCTTCCGGTTCATCCTACATCTTGAACATGCCCCCCTTCTTTTGGCGATTCCCTTTTATCATACGCCGTCCCCCCTTTCGCGATTCCGGTTGACATCTTTTAAAAAATGAACAAGTAAATGGTCGAGGCGGTCCTCCGCTTTGCTGTGCCGCGCAAGCTCGTTTCAAGCATCATCCTGCCAGCAAAAACAGAACACATATGGACCCTGGCAGAGCCCATGATGCAGACCTACATTGGGTTTGCAGCTGGGGGCGCCCCCGCCCCCAAACCCCCGCCTTCTTTTTATACAGGGCATGGCTTGCTGTCATCAAGATATGGAGCCTTTCAGAACCCGTAATGCATAAAACTTGAAAACTTCGATCACAGTTTTGTGATCGACGCAATTCCTCGTCATAGCGCGATGTTCTTGACAGCAAGCCATGCTCAGCAAAAAAAAGACAGTGGGGGGGGAAGAGGGGAGTTGGGGGGGGCGGCAGCCCCACAACCCATTGCAATGTACATGGGTATTGCCAGTGCTGAAAGGATCCATATGAACTCTGTGTACCTGTTTGCTGGCAGGATGATGTTTGAAACGAACTTGCGCGGCTTCAAAAAGCGGGAGGCGCCCGGCCCCCCATTTGCAAACAGAATGCCTGTATCATGGATTTTGAAAAATTCAACACTTCGCCTGTGTGCATGATGGAAAGCTTCTACACTCATGTGACTGACGCAATTCTTCCGGACGGC